GAATTTTCGAAAAAAACGGTAAATGAAGCAGTCATATTACAGTCGTCCTATTTTTTAATATAGTATTTATAATCTGTAGCAGTATTTAACCAAATCGGAATCACGTAAAAACTGTAATATATCAAGTAGGTACTACACGTAGGTTAGTTATATTATAATGTATTATTAAAAGAAACATGTAGGTGCGTCGGTAAATGTTAATTATAATAATTTTTTTGCCCAATAAATATCGTCAAACGAATAATAATAATATATATAATATAATAATGCAAATTAAAAAAAAAAATTAACACTTTCGTTAAAAATGATAAATGTGACGAAAAAAAAAACGCAAAAAGAAGAAATTCGATTTAACACGGCCCCGCCGGCGTTCGAAACCACGACCGTCGAATCACCCGTTTTAACGCCTAACCTACCTAGCCACCTACTGAGATGAAATTAGGAGCCAAATCTATGACTCTTAAGGGCGTTTGAGCGGACCACCATGTCCGCCATCTTCGGACGTTCAAGACGCGAGATTTGCGAAAAAAATCGAACCTCGAGGCGCATGTATATATGCCTGTATACAGGGTGATTCTTTTATCAAACAACACTCATTATTTAAAAAAGTGTAAATTTTTTTGAAGATATTTTTTTACATAGTTTCAAGTCGCTTATAAAACAACGTTTTTATTAAAAAATTATATTTTTAAATATTTTTTATCCTTATAATTTTTTAAGTTTTTTACTTTTTTGAATAACAACATAGGGTTTTAATTTTATATTCCAAAGCAGAATATTTTTCTTAGTATTTTGATACATGAAAATCGAATTTGGGTTGAGTAGTTTATGAGTTATAAGTATTTAAAGTTTAGACGTGAGGAGTGGAGTGGTTCGGGGTTACCCCGCGAAAAGTTTGTCCACTTCACCGCTCGTCTAAACTTTAATTACTTATAACTCATAAACTACTTAACCCAAATTCGATTTTCATGTATCAAAATACTAAGAAAAATATTCTGCTTTGGAATATAAAATTAAAACCCTATGTTGTTATTCAAAAAAGTAAAAACTTAAAAAATTATAAGGATAAAAAATATTTAAAAATATAATTTTTTAATAAAAACGTTGTTTTATAAGCGACTTGAAACTATGTAAAAAAATATTTTCAAAAAAATTTACACTTTTTGAAATAATGAGTGTTGTTTGATAAAAGAATCACGCTGTATAGCGATACCTACACGGTACCTACTCTCGTTTCTGACACACTACTCCACCCCGGGACTCGAATTTTCGAAAAAAACGGCAAATATAGTCGTACTATTTTTTAATATAGTATTTATAATCTGTAGCAGTATTTAACCAAATCGGAATCACGTAAAAACTGTAATATATCAAGTAGGTACTACACGTAGGTTAGTTATACGTTATTATAATGTGTTAATAAAAGAAACATGTAGGTGCGTCGGTAAAATCAAGTATTAATTAAATGTTAATTTTAATTATTTTTTTGCCCAATAAATATCGTCAAACGAATAATAATAATATATATAATAATATAATGCAAATTAAAAAAAAAAATTAACACTTTCGTTAAAAATGATAAATGTGACGAAAAAAAAACCGTGTCCGCCACCTTCGGACGTTCAAAACGCGAGATTTGCGAAAAAAATCGAATCTCGAGGCGCATGTATATACATGCGTATATATTCCTGTATATAGCGATACCTACACGGTACCTACTCTCGTTTCCGACACACTACTCCACCCCGGGACTCGTCTGTGGCTATAAATATAGCAGGGAACGCGAATAAGTAGTCGACGGGGAGGGTGATATAACCGAAAGGGGCTAAAACTATAATTTTCAAAAAAAACGGCAAAAAGAGCAGTCATATAGTCGTACTATTTAACTGCCAGAGTTTAATCAGTTCTATTAGATCTATTAGTTTATTAATACCGTATTAAACAGTATTTAACCTAAAAACTGTAATATATCAAGTAGGTACTACATGTAGGTTAGTTATATTATATTGTATATTTATATAAGAAACATATAGGTGCGTTGGTCACGGTAAAATCAAGTATTATTATTATTATTTATAAAATAGTACAGTATCATTATACAATTTAGTTACAATTTAAAATATCTACTTTAATATATATTAATATTTTTTTGCCAAAAAAAAAAAAATGTGACGAAAAAAAAAACTCGAAAAAAAAAAAATTCAAATACCACGGATGGCGCAAATTATCGTAAATCCCAGAGGCCGGGTTCGAACCCACGACCCTCGAGTCCCTTATCCTAACGCCTAACCAACCTAGCCACCTACTCAGATGAAGTCCCGAGGCAAATGTATGACTCTTAAGCCGCGTCGCCGTGCTCGCGGCGATAAAATAAAATTCTTATCACTTTCCTTATCAATAAAAACAATATTTAAGAAAATCCCAATAAATCCTATCAAAAACTCAAAACCCCGAGTTTCCCCTTGGCGAGGTGGGTGTTAGTACTCTCCCGGACCAAAATCCATCAAAAAAGCAAAATCCAAAAAGGGGGGGAGGAGGTGCCCCCGTCCCCTAAAGCGGAAAACGGTAGTATTCATAAAAAGAATGGGTTCCCCCTTGGTCCGAGGTGTTTAACTTGAATTCCGGCCGAGTTATACTCAACTCAAAATGTGGGGGGGGTGGGGGCTTTGGTTCCCTAATGTTGAAAATTCATCTGGGGCCTAAAAAATTGAGATGCCCATTGGTACGGGGTCTCTAAGTCGAATACCGGCTAAGTTATACTTGGTCAAAAATAATTACTCGTTTAATGGGTCCCCCCACTCCGCCCGACGGTCGCGGGGTAATCGATTTATAAGACGTTATTATCACGTCAAAAAATTGAAAAACACGGGTTTTTTTTTAATAATAATAATAATGTTCGAAAATATTCGTCGATAAGGAAATCGATAAGGGAAAGGGAGATAAGCGAGCGGAATTTATAGCGAACGCGCGGGAAGTATTGTGATTGGTCGTCATGGAAGAAACGCGGAGTGCCGTGAGCGCTCCCCGCGGATCTTATACGCGTTATTAGCGTTTTATTATATAAGATATGTACCTAATTTAAATTAGCTTTTCTGACTTCACCATCTATTTTAGTATGCTTATTAGCATAGGCAAACGTTACAACAAAAAATATTTCATAAAATGGGTGTCCTTTAAAGTGGAAAAGTTTCATGATAAAGTCAATGCACAATGCACATTGGAAATGAGTCATCTGAATTCTGAATAATACTACTGACTTCAGTCTACAAGTCGAGCTGGTATATGAAGTATATAAGGTTAATAGCTAGAGGTAGGTTACCACCTCAGTCAGTATGTTGTTTCTGGTATAACAATATAACATTGTAAATCTATAATTGATACAATAATACTTTTGAGTGATCAAAAAGGAAAATTCCCTGTATTTTTCAGAACAATCGATTGCTTAACCAAATGTTTATATAAGCATTTTTTATATAGATAAGATAAAATTAAAAAAATATTTTAACTCTTTTTGAGCAATTAATAGACATTTTTTTTAATTTTTTTATTTCATATAAATATTGATATAAATATTTTTGCAGGATCAAAAAGTTTAAAAATGTAATAAAAAAACAACGTTTTTATAAACATTTGAAATTAAAATTAGGACGATATTAGATATTAAACGAAGAATATCTGCGTGTTTTGTTATTTTACTGTAATACGTACCTATATAAAAGTATAAAACTATCACTATGGACAATGGTAGGTACTTGAAATTTTTAACGTATGTTATTATATTTTATAGTGTTTATACACGCAATGACATTTTTAATTACAATATTTTGACAAAAATTAAATCAACCTTCTGTATTATAGCCATAGGTATACCTAAACTAATATTAAAATAAATTACTTTTATAGCAATAATATCATTAAATATACTCAGTAAATATAGTAATAACTAATAAGTAATATACAAACTAACTGACCGTCTTCGCTCAGAACCGTTTATCGTGTACTTAAACAATGATCTTATGTTATCGAATTCAAATTTGAATCTACTCGACACATATTACCCTAGGTAGGGCGGTTACCTACTTTACCCCCTTTTAATTACTATTGAAATTATACTTACATGGTTCTCTATTAATAATAATAATAATGAACTTAATTGCAACAACATAAATAATACCAAAAAGAATGACATAAAATACCGTTGGATACGTATTGAAGCACCCAATAAAAGCAAAGCTTGTGCTGGGGGACATTATTAAAACCATAATAGTTTATGAAAAATGTAAAATAAACCGCGGCCATTCGATTCCAAATTACCCATAGGTAATCTACTTCTATGATGATACAAAATTAACGTTGGATAAAGTTTACCGATGATATAATATTAATATTAAATTGGTTATTCGCATCGTCATATAATAATATAATATTGTATCTTCTAAATTGTATATTTTCGAGCAAACCAGCATGCTATCAATCATAATATACGATGCGGTTAAAATCAGTTGATAAACGGTACCTATTATATTACAGGTAGGTAATTATTATTTTGCCATTATAATTGTGTCGCGCGTTATCTGCTCTCAAAGTCGACTGGGCGGGCGTGGGGCAACGAGGCGCCGCTGTTACCGAACCGCGTGGCAAGTGAACTTCGATAACCGACCACTTTAGTACCATACTTCTATGTAACATACTACAATATTGTTATTGTTACCGCGAGCAAACGTCAAAGCCGAAAGCGCATCAGTCCCGTCTCGACGCGCGAACGAGTGTCATCGTCGTCCGCCGTATTGCGTCTAGCACTACTCTCTAGGGCATCGTCATAATACCTAATAATATTATTAATTATTTTCCTCGTTCGTCGTCTTCACATGATAACAATAATATTTTATCCTCGTAAATAGGCACTACCGTGGTATAATATTTTATCCTCATAAATAGGTACTACCGTGGTATAATATATTTTACCGTTTATCCAGCAGCTGTGCACGAGCTGCAGTGACATGCAGTCGAAAGCGCGTCTGCTCGAAGACGAATTTTCCGAACGTAAGCAATCTCGTATTGTATATTATTTAATATTATAATAAATAATAATAAATTAACATAATTATATCAGGTTATCGTGTAACAATGTAACTGCTGGTACCTATATCTATGTAAATAATATTATGATAGTTGTGTGTATCCGGGGTTTGACCTGGGTGATGACTTATCAAGCCTTTTTTTGTTTCAATAATTCATTTAATACATAGGTATACTATTATAATTGTTTTAGGCCGTAACTATTATCAGGTCCACGCCAGCAGGTTACTATTATTATTTTTTAGTTTGCAGTTAGTAAGGAACAGTTACTTGTAAGCTTTTTGTAGATTATTTTACACTATGTTGTTTGTTTAATTGACAGCAATTCCTAGGCAATTTTCAGTCAATTTTAAGTAGTTACGACGTTAAGTAGGTATATATGTTTTAGTTAAAAAGTAAAAAAACGTGAATATGTCACATACGCTATACATTTTATTTTTACTTATGTATGCTCCTAATCCACCTCATAACGTATTGTTACGTATTCTTATATATTCTTATTTTATTGGTATATCTAACTATATTATATTATCTACGTTAGTAATTATATTGTTCTGTTTGACCGGGTGCGTGGTTTTATTGTACAAGAGTATTATACCAGTCCTACCCAAGGGGCCCTCAGAGGCTAGATTCAAACCTTTAGCGCCTATAAGGTCCATAGCTTTTATAGGCAGATATTTGATTACATTTAAAGGGGGAGCTTTAAAATATATTATTCTTACACTAAATTAGCCAATTAATGACACAAGTAAATCTTGACCATGCATTTCCAAATTAACGCTTATGCCCGGATCAGGTATTTCCCTGCCTTTATAATATACATTATAATATTATTTATATATAATTGGCGTATATGTATAGCTATATACTACATTTCCTACCGTGAAATCTACATCAGTTATTATAGGCCAAACAATGTATTGTAATGTTTTGGCATTTTTTCCTACCTCAATGCAAACTGTTTCAAAATCAAGCGATACCACACGATATATCCACATTGCTATAAAAGTATTAAAAATAGTAATAAGTTATACATTATTTGTTTAATAATATGATAATAGGTATATTGTAGGCACTAGAGACAGGTATAATAGGTGGTAGGAATAGTAAATAAATAAACCACGCGGACTCTGTGTACCTATGTATGTTTTATTTTTGACAGCCAAATATTGTGTGCTTTTTTAATTATTATTTATAATAGCCCAGATTTTTATCCACGTGTTTCACATCAAACAAGTGTTATAACTGTAGCAGCTGTTAGTATTGATGTCCTCTATGATTACGCAGGTAAAATAAAACAAAACATGGGGCTATCAAAAATCAAAAATTAGGTACCTATACAAGTAATCAATCATAAAACCGATTTCTAAAATCTACTATTCAAACCTCGTCAGAAACTAAAATTAAGATTTCTTGATCTTTGTTAAGTTTGGTAAGAGTTGAAGGTCTTATAAGTATAGGCGTATAGCTGCAAATGGTAAATTAATATGGAAATATTATGATTTATGAATAAATTATATTTTAAATTAAGGTCTAAGAGGCTTTGCTCTCTGCTCTGCTACAATCGATAATCCCCTCGGATATCTGGAAGTCTTATCTAAAATACTTTTTATATTTCAATAGGTACCTATAACTGCCTTTTTGGTTTTTTTTAGAATATTCTTTATTTGTTTTTTGATTGGCACGAGAATTATATATAAAACTGAGAACTAAAAAAAAAAAATTATGTAATAAAGAGTTATTAGAAATCAAACTTTATACAGTAAATTTAAGCTTAACAAATACTAAATTAATGTACATTCCACCGTTGTTATCAAAAACAACCAAATCCAAATTTGTATGCATAGTTCTACATATAATATATATGATAAAAAAGAGGGCATGTAGGTGTCGAGTGTACATTATTTTGATTGAGTAAGTTACCTAAATCAGTGGTTTTCAACCTTTTTTGGGTCGCGACCCCCCATTTTTATTTTTTTTGTACTGCGACCCCCTTCAAAAAAAAAATGTTGTTTTATTCATCAAAATTTGATTTAATTACTGAAAAAATATTTATTTGTTATACGATTTTGATTAATTTACACTTAAAAATTTAATTAATTCATAATACAACATTATTTTAAAACAATACAAGCATATGCAATAAATTTAAATATAAAAAAAATACATAATACATAAACTGTTGTTAATGGGATAATTGAGCTTGAGCTTTTGAAATGATTGTTTCCATATTAGGTTTTATATTAGAAACTGCAACTCTTAGATCTGATGCTAAGTTTAGTTTTGTCCGATATTTGTTTTTTATAACTGTAAGAGCTGAAAACGCCATTTCACAAAGGTAAGTGGTTGCAAATGGCAGAAGTGTTGATACAGCTACTTTTGACAATTCTGGGTATTCTGATTTTATAGAAATCCAAAATTTATCACTTGTAGTTTCATTAAATTTTATACGCAGAATTTCATCGGCAGATAACTCAATTAATTCCTCGTTCATAACTAAACTTAATTCAGAATTCATTTCATTTATATTAATAGAAAATGGATTTCTTATCCATCCCAACTTTTTTTCTGGAAACTTTTCAAACCGTGTGTTAAAATGGTTTTTCAAATTTTCGAGATGAAGTAATATTATGTCTTTTATTTTTTTAATATCAAATATTTCATTGTCAGCAATAAATTCTGAAAAACATGAAAACATTTCGAAGTTTTCATTATTAATATAATTTATCCATAAACTTATTTTTTTTTTGAAAGCATCGATTTTATCGGAGAGAATTAATATATTTGTATTTTTACCTTGAAGACTTAAATTTAAATTATTTAATTTTTCAAAAATAACGGCAAGGTAACTTAAAATTGCTAACCATTCTTCATTTAAGAAGTGTTCTGCGAGTGTATTTTTATGTTCAAGAGAAATATTCGTATTTCATCTTTAAGCTCAACAATTCTTAATAATATTTTACCACGGGATAACCACCTAACTTCAGTATGAAGTAGTAGTTTTGTATATGATCAGATCCCATTTCATTACATAGTATCGTAAATAATCTAGAATTTAATGATTTTGATTTTATAAAGTTAATTACACGTATAGCATCTTGTAGTACTTCGTTGACAAATGGTTCAAGTTTTTTAGATGCTAAAGCTTCCCTATGAATCATACAATGAGTAAATAGTCTATATAAAACAAAATTAAAAATTAACTTTATTTTATTTTTAAATAAAATGGAAAAATCATTTCATCTATTATTTTTGGCGACCCCCTTGGGGGTCGCGACCCCCAGGTTGAAAACCACTGACCTAAATGAACGTGTTAAATTTGAATTCAATGATAATATTCATTGCATACGAAAAACGATTCTTAACGAGGACAGAAGTCGTCTATCAGCCTTTTTTATCGTTGGGTATTTATAAAAAAAACGAATAAAACTAAAAAATTTAAAATGTCTATGAATGGCTCAAAATATATAGACTAGTAGACAAAATATTTTGAAAACCATGTACCTATCTATATATAAAATGATAATATAAACATTTTGTGAAAGTTTCAAGCGGTTTCAAGTATATTTGTGGTTATTCCGCGTTATTTAATTAAAATAAAATTACAAAATCGTTTTTGTCGTAAACTAGGTAGGCAATAGGCATACCGCTATACTTAAAAATTCCTGTTTTTAAAAATAAAAATGCTTCAATAAAATAATAATAGAAAAGTACCGAGAATTTTTTAATTTTAAAAAGTAATATACCTACTAAGTATAATACACTTAGTAATGCAGTGGAACCTCGGTATCTCGAAGTCCTATGTGACCAAAAAATTCGTTATACAGAAACTTGTATACCGGTGTTCGAGATATCGAGGTTCAATTGTAAATAGGTTAACAGACCGATTCATTCAAATTTAACTCATAGGTACGTCATAATATAATAATATGTATTCCGTATGGTGACCTACTCAATGACGAGGTACACTCGACAGTTGACACCGGCTATACAGCAGGGCGGACGAGCGGTTACCTTTTTTTAAAAAGTTTTATCTGTATACATTGTGAATTACAAACTAATATATTTATATATCTTATATATTTCAGTACCTACCTTTTTAAGAGATTTTTTTATATTTTATATTATTATGTAATATTTTTGTTGAAAATCGTTTACACTGAAACTTATAATGTTTACTAGACAGCTTTTAAAGGAAAACCACACAGATGTAGTATTGAGTGAATATGATACGGGTTGCACCCTAGGGGATTTTATTATATGGTCTACTCAAACTGCGGTACGTAAAATAAAATTGTTATTTGAAACAATAATATTAAATATTGTTGTAACAGTATTATACTGCAGTTGGCCATATTATACACCTACTACTCTGCTACATAATTTCTACAATATGTCTGTAGTTCGTTGAGAGCCACAAAGTTCAAATAAAGATGTAATTTGATTTTCAGATGTAAAAACTAAAAGTTTGTTTAGTATAGCTAATTAAAATTTAAAATAACTGTCCGTATTATATATTCATACTTATGTAGTTATGTATACCTAATTATGGAATAATGTCTATAATAATCTATAGAATAGATACTCTCGAATATGTACCATATTATATTGGCTAATACCGTGCAATTTTAAACTTCTCATAAGTATCTATTTTTATAAAATTAAATCCTGATCAAATGTTCGAATTTTGATCAAAGGTAGTGGTCGATTTGGTTTGTTTTCTAGACAGGGGGGAGGGAGCCACATAGTTTCGGTCCGAAAATTCTAATTTGCAGGTTACTTGCGTAGTTATACGTGAGTGTAGACTATGAATCATGAACTACGAGTGATAATATATTAATATGATACCAAAATGTTTAGGCTGGGGATATGGTGACCCAAGCAACTTATACAAATGAGATGAAAAAGGTTCTAATATAGTAATACAATTGAGACATTTTATAGTAATCATAAATATTTTCAAAAAAGAATATTACCTATGAGCTATATTCAACGGATATTTAAATTTTATACAGAATAATTCTAATCTACAGTTTTGAGGATTATGGAATATTATACTAAACTATAAATCGTAATCCATACATTAAATTATTAAATATTTAAATATATATGGTTTTTTCATAATTACATATAAACACAGCATATTATTTACAAATTTAATAATCCATCAAAAAATAGTTTTATTCATTTATTTATCAAAATATTCAACAATATTAAGGGTTTGCTGTAAAAGGCAAAACTGAGGAAAAAACAAAGTTTTTGGAACTAAGACATAAAAATCATTATTGATATTTTCATTGATGAAAATTCCATACATAATTGTCTTCATCTATAGTACCTACTACCTATCTATAGTTTGTATAGCTATTTTATATTATTCAAGTTTAGTGGCTAGTGTCTTTATCTATAATATAGTTGATTGAGCGATTGAACGATGCAAAACATATTAGAATAGACTAATAGTAATCTCCAGCACCAATTCAACACTTTCAACCACAATAGTTATTGTGATTATGATTTATGATTCATGGTCACACATAACATATTATTATCGATAATGATTTATCGCAGATATTGTTCGTTGTTATAATTAATAATGTATTATAACTTATAAGTAACCCATTAATACCCAATAGTAAAATGAAGATTGATATTATATCAATAAAAAATAGTAAATAGGTACCTACTGATAAAAATAAAAATATTACAAGTCAATCAATGTTTTTTTATTAGATAATATCTAGCATATTACATGAATTCGTCAAACATGGTAGGTATTGCATACAAATAATCAAAAAATGAAGTAAAATACTGATTATTATACGAATTCAATTATTCAATTACCTATTCAATTATTGTAAAAAGTAAGCAAATATATTTCAATCAGCATTGTTCTATCTTAATGTAAATTGATAATTCGTTTGTAAAAGTATATGATGTTTTGTACTTTTGTCGCACGAATATGCAAAACCAAGAAGTTCATAAATATTGAAATTTTAATCACATATAAGACGTAAATCATTAGTCATTATTTATTTATTTTCTTAAATGTATATTATTCTTCTGTAGGCACATATTCATAACATGTGAATATTACTTTATACTTGACAGTATTCATTTACTAATTATTATTTAAATAATTGATTACTCTATAATATAAATATATAATGCGTATAAAACAAATATTTAAGAATCTATGTATTATTATTTAATTATCATCGATTATCATCGTGTTGACTTGTATACCTATATAGTATAATAATCACTAAACATCTAAACAACACAATATATTATGATTTATGACCTTACAACTCAGTAATGATTCATAACCAAATATTTAAGTTCTACAATATGTATAAATACTTTATCGTCTTTATCATTTAAATATATCAATATTCATAAATAGCCAAATATGATATAGGTATATTATATATATGTATACAACTGACGAATATAACACACATTCATAAGATGATCAAAAACGTGCGATACACTGTGATAGTTAAATATTGCAAACATAGCTTATAGCCTATAGAGTACATATAATAGTATGTAGACTCCATGATTATTCATCGGATTTTCATTTGCTGTTTCACAGGGAAAATATGATAATATTGTTACGCTTAAAATCGGATAAAAAAGGAATTTTGTAAAATAAGAACATTTATTTTTACCCGGTTATTCGTGTTTTGGACAGTTAGCTTATGCATGGATAGTTCAACATATTTTATTTCTCATTTTTTTCTAGTGTAGGTATACGTACTTGAACAGTTTTTTTTACCTAATCGTCGTTCCTTGTGGTCATCTGATTTTTTAATTAGGTACAATCATAATTATAACACCATTTAAAATATAAGGCCCCACCATGGCTCATCTCTATGATCATCAACTTCGAACTTCACCAACTCCCCAAGAAATCTACCAGCCCCACCCATTACAGAAATGTATTCATGGAAATACTGTCATACAAACAGCATTACGCACTTATATACACGGATGACTCTGTCATGGCAAATCGTGTCGGAATGGCTGTCATCCACGGGGACACACAAATCCAATGGAAATTATCAAACAAGTTCTCCATTTACACTGCTGAAGCACTGGCCATCCTCAAAGCCATCGAATTTGCAACAAAGTTGATGCTAACCTGATCATTATCCTTGGCGACTTCCTATCCACCCTCATGAGCATTCAGAACCAGTGGAAACCAACTTACCTAGCAAGAAAAATCCACAACGCACATACTACCGCTACCTTCGCCGGCAAAAAAATATCTTACATGTGGATCCCCGGCCACTGTAATATAGAAGGCAATGAACTCGCTGACAAGGCCGCCAAACTTGCTCACCTAGTCAATAAACCTCTTACGTTCCTGGATTTCTCATACCAGGACGTTAAGAGAATCATTGCTAAAGATGCACACGACCAATGGGAAAACAAATGGACAGAAAAGATAATCAAGTTACATGAGATCAAAAGAACCACATACCCCTGGCCGTTCTCTATAAACATCTCCAGGAGACAGGAGACATCCATTACTCGCCTCAGGATTGGACACACACACATCACTCACCAACACCTCATGAAGAAAGAAGAACCCACCAACTGCACCATCTGCGGTTCACCTCTTACCATCAAACATATACTCACGGAATGCCGTAGCTATGAAAAAGAAAGGAGAGAATTGAGCTTTCCGGAACAACTCTATGAAATACTCAGTCCTGAGCAGAACACTCTCAAGGACCCTGGAGTTTCTAAACAACACAGGACTAATCAGCAAAATGTAATCCATATTAACACATTGTTTTTCTGTTTCTTTCCCCTCTCTATTTATTTATATATAAAAGTTTATAACCATGTATAATATTGTATAGTGTAATGTACGTCCAATGACCATAGACGCCGCGGACTTTCTATTATTTTGCTTTAAAAAAAAAAATATATAAGGTTACCTATATGGAATATCATGTTCATTTAAATCCGAGTTTAAATCTTAAACTTTTAATTTTAGTAGGTTATTTTATAGCATATTGCTTTTGACTTATGAGTACGAATAGTATTAATGATTCGGTGTTGCACTAGTTGAGACTTGAGAAGCTTAGACAGGATGTTGGACATTTTTGTTTCCCATCTAGCCTTATTATAAGTGCTGCTTTTAATTAAAATAAGGTAAGATTGGTACCAAAACTGATGTAGATGGGATTCTTCCATTTTTTTTTTTATAAGATATTGATGATACATTGCCACATGTCCAATTTGGATATTTATATTTATTATTATAAATATAAATTATTTATTTATAATTTGCATGGATATGCTCACTGTTCAGTGGAGAGCCTATAGATTAGTGGTACCTATTATGTATTTGTAGTAGTAAATTTGTAGTAAAGGGCTCAAGCCTGTATATTGTATAAATAAATAAATATTTAGCAAGTACCTACTAAAATATAACAATAATATGTGTTGAGCAAATTAATATGTTGTTACCTAATGTATAAAATATTGTACCTAATATCAAATAAAATAACTAAAAATCCGTCAAATAATTGAATTTGATCATCGTCTATATCAAACACATAGTTAAATCTTTATCTTATCTTAATATTTATTTACAATACAACTGTATTGAATAATAATATGTTTTGAAATATAAGTTTACGATTGCATTATAATTATTACATATAAATGTAATCACAATATTAATTGGTCGTATCTTCTTAGATAGGTACTAATTGTCTATGCCATTCAAGGCTTTTATATTATATATTATGTTACGATTTCACCCGAACGGTACTTCTATTTATTATTTCAGATATTATATACACGTATGTGACGTACATCCCATGTATTATGGGGTCGTGGTAACGACCCTTTTTTATATAAAAATGATATGCATTTATATATTTTATTAATAAATATTATTACTTTTGATGTGGGTGAGTTAGTGGGACTTGAATTCGCGACACGTTTTGAAAATACTCTGGCCACTATAGGTGTGTATTTGTTTCAAATATTATGTAATTTATTGTTTTTTTTTTAGGTGGAAAAATTCCTGGCGTTCGATACCTACAGAGTTTTTTATTGTTTCTATGCCTTTTTGCAGCTTACCTGTTGCGGGTTAGCATATCCGTCGCAATAGTGGCAATGACGCCTGACAAGAATTCTACTGACTTCTTACTCGAAACACATTACCACATTCCTGTTAGTAAGACTTTTGTGACTATTTCACATTACCAATCTATATTCAATATTTTATATATTATTTGATCATTGTCAATGTTTTTATCGCCTTTTGATTTCCTGATATAAATACAGTGAAACCTTCCCTAACGGCCACCTCCAAATAGAGGACGTTTTTTTTGGGGAACAAACTACACATTTTCTACAAACTGAACCCTCTGAATAGCGGACACCTCCGAATAGCGGACAAAATTTCAGCAACCAAGAGTGTCCGGTATTTAGAGGTTTCACTATACTATAATACATTATATATTCTGCGCATGTGGATCAAAAGGTATTCAATTGGACACAACACACGAAGAGTTTGATCTTAAGCGCATTTTTCTGGGGCTACCTCATCATGAACCTGCCAGCAGCCATGATCGGTCGCCGGTATAACAACCAAATGCTATTGGCCATGAGTATGATGTTGACCGTAGCTCTCAGTCTAGCCACACCATCATTAGTGGTTGCTTTCAATTGGCCGGTGCTCGTACTTATTCGGTTCCTGCAGGGCCTTACTCAGGTATGAATGTATAGAGTGCAGAATTATTATGATAGAAATAATTTTGATTTTTATCAAACAAAAAAATCAGGAAATCATGTAGGTATAGATAATGATTATACAAAATTAATCAAACATTAAATATTTGATGAAAACCAGAATTACTTTTACGGATAATTTATTATATAACAATTACCTAGGTCTATACGTGTGCATTAAATAATAATTTTATTACCAATATAAGTTATAATATATCGTATTATCACCTATACCTGGTTTCTGTTTGTCTGATCCGCATGTAATCCACCTTATGTGGATACAATTATTATTTTTTGTTTTGTTTCAATTCATGTTTAATGTACATTTTTACATATAGGCGTTCACCATGCCAATGATACATGGCATCAGCGCCAAGTGGGCGCCACCGAATGAACGTGGTCGTCTCGTTGGATTTGTATTGGGAGGTAAACCATTTTATTGAACTCTCGTACGAGGCACTCTTCAAAAGTAAGACCAACTCGAAAACTATTCTTTGGCCGCAATAACCATCCTAAATTAATCTGACCCATACATACTGCAGCCTTAAGTACTTATAATCGTATAAAGTCGTGACTATAAAGTATAATATGACTACAAATTTAATTATTATCTATACTTATTTTTTCACCAAGCCAAGTACATTTTGATACAGCAAGTTATAAAATACATAAACACATTGATACATTTTTAAATACTCGTATTTGATAAACATGCATTCAAATTTAAAAAAATAATTACAATTGTACGTATTTATTTACAAGCTTTAGTAATAGCATAATTACCTACATGTGATTTTAACGACTCAATTTGAAACTCTTATGATTGAATTATCAATTATAACTGAAAAATAAGTAACTTTATTTTATATAAATATAGATGATGTATAACGACTAATGAGTACCTATAAGAACATTGAACATATATAACATAATGTTAAGAGAGTACACTTAATTCCAATGAACTTTGTATTAAATTCATAATTAATCCTCTTGTTACCGACCGTTTAAGTATATATCTATATATGCACATCATTATGTGTGTATTAATAATTTGTTGCATATATTACTGTTATAAATTATTATCAACGAATTAAAACTTGAAACTCTACCATAGCTATCATGAGTTTGGTATCTCGGAGAAATGTAATCCTATTAACCTCGTTACATACATCTCAGTATCTACTATTATTTTATATAAACATATAAAATCATAACTTCTTGATGAATACCTACTTGATTTTATCTATTGACACTAAGTATCAAGGACCAATAAAGGTTCTTAACAGTTTATGTAACAAGTTGTGGAGTACACACAAGTGATGATTGGGGGGATAATATCATACATATTATTATTATATTATTCTTATTGACTTTAAACTTTAAAGTCAATATACTGCATGCCGTAGAACGGTATGAATAGGTTCTCGTTAAAAAACGGTTTAAAATACTTATAAAGGGCAAACTATAAGAACCACTAAAGAGGAACCTTGTATTAAATTAAAATTTCTATATATATAAGCCTATAAAGGTGACCGGTCAAAATATCTTCAAAATAATATCTTTAGTTAAAATATCTTAGTCAAAATATCTTGTGGCAAAATATCTTACGGCAAAAATGTCTTTAGTCAAAATATATTTTAAGCTAATTTTTTAATTTATATTCATGTAATCAATTAATCTCTATATACTCAAATATACGTCGGAAGACCTCCGTCGGAAGACTATGATTGTGAGCAAAGTGTTACAAGTGGTATTTATATATTTCATATTATTTAATTTATTTATTTAATTACAAATAGTTTTTTATAGTAATTTTTCAACTATAATTTTTTCTATGTTTTTTTTTACAATAATATTTTTATAAGGATCATACTAATTACTAACACTGTATTATTAAACAATTATTATAAATAATGTTGTAGGTACACTATATATTTATAAAAATAAAATAAATAAATAATATGAATAAACATTTTTAAAAAATCAGTTTAAAAGATATTTTAACCGAATACATTTTTGTCATAAGATATTTTCACAAAAGATATTTTGATCAAGATATTTTGACCGAAGATATTATTTCGAAGATATTATGACATGGAACCGCCTATAAAGATCCATATTATTTTTAAAATTATACCATGTCAAGAAAATGTTACTATTAATATTTAATGACAATTTCAAGTTTCTACCTTCATTCAATTTTGAATTACGACAATATAGGTTTAAACCATATAGGTTTTGTGTATTTTTTTTGTTTTTCCTGACTATTTTCAACCTGGAATTTTTGATTTTGTGTCTCTCAATTCATAAAGGTCTAACTAGATCTGATTTGCTACCAGAAACACCCTCAATTTTGAAAACTGAAGTTTATTTACTTCGCAAAAAAGGACACATCATTATAAAACCAATACTTTCTGAGATATTGCATGTAATACTAAACTGTGTATGAAATACAAAATGGATAACACCGTGTATAAATGTATAATATAATATTAGTACTGATGAGCACGTCATATATTTCCGTCTATAGACAACTATAAATTATAATCTGCATAAATATGTTGTGACTGTGATTGTGATTTATGATCTTAGATGTGGTTGACAATATTCTGGTATATAATATTCTGGGTAGTCTAAACTGGTTTGAAGCAAACAATGCATGCCGTCTTCTAAAATAAAACTTGAGATTATTAAAATAACTAATATTTATGTAAATACATAATTTATTATATTGTAATATAGACAATATTTATTCAGTGATATTATTAATTGTTCTTAATTATTTCTATTTTATTTATTTATATGAATTTACATTATACAGCACACTGAGTTCCATAAGTAAACATTTATGTAACAAAATTTAGATTTTCAACTTCAGTATCTTTTCCAATTGGAAAGTGAATGTAGTTGAGGCATTTGAGTGGTAAAAATTCCCAGTATTTTTGAAATTCGCCGTCTCAACAAAAAAAAAGAATCTAAAAAACCAAATTGATTTTGTTGAATTGGGGTTACGTAATTGTTCCAATTTTTTCACTATTTTTTTTATTTGATTTTCCTGATTATTAAGAAAAGCACGAGGGAAATATCTTACTTATAAAAAAAAAAAAAAAACAAAATCACAAATGAACAAGTGTAATCATGAAACATCGATTTCACGAAGTTGCTTAGTCGCTAGACGTAATATAATACCTACACTATATTATGATAGATTTAAAAACAAACAACAATAATAAACTTTTAAAATATTTATTAAAATTAAGTAAAAATTCTAACAAATAGTATTGATTATAAGAAAAAGAAATGGTTAAAATAATATTCAAATTTATGGGAAGTATATATAGTAACTATAGTATAGTACTACTTTTCATTTAACTATGGTGTATTTGACAACAAAAACATTTGAGCTTATGTAAAATCGTATATGGTAATACTCATAGTAAATTTGCAAAACAAAAACTTATAATTACAACTTAAAATAACATAGACAATATATTATATCAGAAGGTATAGTGTATGTAAATCTTGACATTTTATTTATGAACAGTTTGAAAATATTTACCTAGTGAAATGTTGATACTTATTCCTTTTATATAAGCAACGAATACTTTTGCCATTTTCCTTATAAAAAAATACTTAGTAAAATTGTTATATAACCTGTGCATTTTTTTGATACATTTAGTATACAATATACATTATTTAAAATTACTTTTTAATATAGATGTAAGACATTGAAGTAGGTATTGATTTTACGTCAACTTTTGTCGTTTTCACATGTAAAAACATTATATTAAATTTACTTCAAATCAATATACAGCATTTGTATTATTTTTTAACATACATTTTATTATTAATTAGATTACATTGTGGATAAGATTTGAATATTTTAAAGGAAACATTATTTAGAAGAGTTAAGAATGAAAACAAAAGTATAGATTAAATTTATTTAGAACAGAATTCACATAGACACTATAAAATAAACAATTTTATGTTCTAAGAGGAGGGATCATTGATTTTACAATGACGTGTGCTTTTTTTTGTGTGTCTGTGTTCACGATAAGTACCTATTTGAAATTATGCTTCAATTTTCAACTTCAGTACCTATATAATTCAATGAGAAAGTGAATCTAGTTCGTGTATTGGGAAGGTAAAAATTTTAAGTTCCTAGAAGTTTTAAATATGGTGGGATGGAGTGGCCGAGCTGACTAAGGCGTCGGTTGCGACGCGCGCCGTCGCCTGTTCGAACCGGGCCACGGGTGGCATTTTTCTTCGGGCAGTCACGGTGTCTGGAGAGAGAGGCCTCCACGCCCCACCCAGGCATCATGACAGATACATATATTATTACATATACGGGTGCCCACTTAAATATTCTGCCAAAACAAACACACACTGCAGTACCCTCCCCACAGTTCCATAGGCTAATAACCTCAGTTGTCGAAGCCTCAACCTCCCCCCAAAAAAATGTATCCGATTTGCCAGAGGATAATATCTATTATTCTTTAGACTTAGGCTAAATGTATATAACTATAATACTTTTTAAGTTTGTTGAATTTGTACTGTGATACTGATATTAAATGTGTATAGTTACCATAGTCATCAAAGTATTTAAAATTTTTTTTTTAATGTTAATGTAATTTAGGTAAAAAAAAAACTTTTTTGATCAAACTATGCACTTTGACTTAACCCTTAAATAATTTCGAGACATACTGAAGAGCCTCGTGCGAAAAAATAATAATTATTATAATGTTCAGTAATAATTTCAAGTTTTCATTTTAGGTCTCCAATTTGGCACAGTCGTAACTTTAGTTGGTTCTGGAATACTGGCCAGTACTCGATCGGGATGGCCATCAATTTACTATTTTAGTGGTGCATTTGGAATTTTTTGGGTAATATTATGGTTATTACTTGGGTCAGAAAGCCCAGATACACATCGTCTAATTACTCAATCTGAGAAAAACTACATAAAATCATCACTAACCCAAACGGTTTCGGAGAAAAAGGTATGCAAATCGTAAAACAATAGTAGTATATTGTATATTTTATATTGTATTATTATGAGGCACGTCTTAAACAGAAAACAATATTGGAGGGTTTGGGGTGTGCAGTGTGGTTGCTTATACGAGACTAGTGACCTATTAATTATTATAATATAGTATAATATACTTCAGTACTTCACTTGACTATACGGCTTAATATTTTATAAATTTGTATACCAATCACTTGACTTTTGATTTTATTTGCCCAACTTAGAACTTGATAACTCCTTGGAAAGAGATATTCACTTCAATGCCAGTATGGGCTGTTACGATCTCACATGCTGGTCACAATTGTGGATTTTGGTTGCTGCTTAGTGAAATGCCCACGTTTATAAGTGCTGTACTAAAGTTCGACATTAAATCGGTAAGAATTATCTTGTATAGTTATATTATACTGTGCAACTGCGTTGTTTATCTACAAAACCGTACGTTAAAAAAAAATGTTTATTAGTCCATAATTAATATTCATTCAAGCGAAGACACCATCCATTTGATATTCGACATTTATACCAAGACTTCAAAATTGTAGAAAATGAATCGCAAAGTGGATAAATGTTTTGATATTGAAAAACGGTAGACATTTTAGATTTTAAGATTTTAGTAAAGAAAAACTAGAGAGGATAAGCAAAGCACGGCAGAAAATAATATATTAATAGGTTCATTAGATATTAAACAGTAGGTAATACGTATACGCCTTGTTGCATGAAAAATGTATTAATTAATTAATTTAATGGTTCAGTAACGTTTAATGGACCTACAAATTATGGGCCACTAAATCATGTTTAAGGGACTTCATCAGCTCACTATTGATTTGTTAAATGTTTAGTGATTGTTCATGCAACATTGCAACTCAGCAATAGTATATTACATTATAACATAATTATAATACACTTTTATTGACTTATACACATTTCCTATATAAAATCAAAAATTACAGTAAGTGATGTGTTGGATACAATAATGAGTACAAATTGTGGTAAACGTTTTCAGGATGGACTTGTGTCTGCATTACCTTACTTGGCCATGTGGCTGTGTCAGTTTCCAGTCACATATTTTGCCGATTATATGAACAAAAAAAATGTGACTTCTCTCACTTTTTCACGTAAATTTTGGAACACCTTAGGTAATATTATATACAATGCATTTTTTTATACTTATAACATGTAATCGTAGTACCTACTGTAACTGTGTAATGTGTAAACTATCTAATATGTTGTAATTAGGAACTGATGATAATTTTTGCATATATTTGGACTAAACTATAGGTAGTACTTAAATAAACTAAAACCCTTTTTTATTAGAATTTAATTCAGATTAATTTAAAATAACTTACAGAGCTCCAATCCTTGCTCATTTTATAACTAATAAGTACTTTAATTAATTTTACTTTTTATTTTATTTTATTTTAATTCATTACCTACAATAACCTACCGTAACCTACAATACCAAATTATATATTTTTATAAAAACTATTTTAAAAGAATATTGTATTTTCAATTGTCAAATTATGTATTCGAAACAATTAAATAACAATATATTGTACTAAATAGATTTTGTGAACATTTTAGGAATTTAAATAAATATTTTTAAATAATAATATTTTTTTTGTTTTGACTCATTAAAGCGGTAGATGGTCTTGATCCGATAATAGTTCTATAATCTATATAGGTACACGTTGAATATGAAATGTCAGTAAAAATTATAAAACAGGTCGACTTAATAATATTATATTAAATTTAAAACTATTAGTTCACATTATGTATCTATATATTATAATATAATTATATACATATATTTACTTTTATCGATAATTTTTTTTGGATATTATGTTTAGAGTTATTTGTACCTTAAATGAATATTGTTGAAACCCGTGTAGGCACCTATACGTAAAATAATAATAATAAATAAAAGCTATTCACATTATGTTTATAGCAAACGAGATTAATTTTTTTAAAGTTATCACATTTTCACACATTTTCACACCGAGAACGATTTAAACACAATCATATGTATAAAAAAATATGTGCAGGAAAAGCGTAAGATATTACACCGTACCCACCATCGTGTTATTTTTTTGTTCGCGTATAGGAATGAGCGGCGGTGCTTTGGGTCTCGTGGTCCTAGGCTACATGGGTGAAAATGCAAACGCAGCCATATGTATGTATGTGTTCGTAGTAGCCATCGGCTGCTGTACGAATGTGGGTTTCAACATTAACCACCTCGATTTGGCGCCCAATTACGCCGGGATTTTGATGGGCTTCACGAACGCCGTGGCCGCCCTGGGTGGCGTGATGGCACCCACCGTCTGTGGGTTCATCGTACACGATCAAGTGAGTATTATAGTGCGTTGGGTTTTTTGTTTTGTTTTTTTTGCTAATAAGTACACGAGTCGTTGAATTATCGTCATATAGCCGTCTATACGAGACAAGTAATTGGAATCTCCGGTTTTCATTATTTATAACGTATATTACATATTAATTATTATTATTATAGACTTCAGTGGACGAGTGGAGGGTCGTGTTCACGCTGGGAGCCGTCATACTTTTCTTCTCCAGTATTTTTTACATCATTTTCGGATCTGCGGAAGTACAACCTTGGAATGAACCTAAAAACGAAAGCGGTAAATCGAAATCATTTATTCACTTAGGGTCTTAATGTCCGCTTGGTATATAATAATATTTAGCCTAGCGAACCTGGTGGCCGAACACCATGTACAGAGGCGTATTAATAAAGGTGACCTTTGACCACATTGACCTTGTTTATTTGTATCCTAAATTATATTAAAACAATGATTTTACAAAAAGTATATTTAAAGAAAAATGTGTAGTTTTTGTATATACTGGATTTTTTAGTGGGACTTTGGCACTCCATGCAAAATTTCTCTTTAGACCACTGTTAAAATTTAATATTATTATAATGATTAATGATACATACTCCAGGGGTGGCTCCAAATGGGGGGGGCTAGGGATATTATAATATCATAAAGCCTTTTAAAGTACAATTATTGTTCCTATACCTACGAGGAATATAAAATATACTAATTATTAAATAATAAATGCTTATACATAATATTATTCCCAACCAATATATTGAAATAAAATTGTTTTTAATTAGGTACAAAAATATTTTTAATTTTTTTCGGTGTCCGGTATACCTTGTTCGTCGTTGTTCCTCTAAGCACTCAATGACAAAGCACAATTATAGATATTCTGAACATGGAACTTTAACAATAAGCTTATGATTTAATAATAAAATATTATAATGATATATTAGCTAAATTGTATATTATAATGATATATTTTTGTAGTCGGTGTTCGGAGTTTCATACAGATGAAAACGGATTATGGTTCCTCTGCAGGATATACGTCTTCACCATCGTCGTTTGGTAAATTAACGTGAATTTAACGATTGACATCACTGAAAAAACAAAATTCGTTTTATTTTTCTTCACCCACAGTTAAAGTCACGTCAAAGTATACCATGTTTGTACGACAATAATCAAACACATATTTTTGGCGCATAACGTCCCGTGGTTGCTAACTCTTTTTCAAAAACAATGATCGACTATAATTGTTATACATATTCTGTTGTTATATTTTGGTTTATTAAAGATTTATGATTTGTTATATTTTTAATTGTCCTTTACGTCTATGTGGTTTTAACTCGATAGCAATCCTGCAAAACATCTTACCATACTATTGCTACCTATATTTATTTATATAAGAAATATAATATCTATTTGTTTTTGTATAGGTAAATAAGAAAATTTCAAAAATATAATATATTTTTAATTATCAATTTTGTCAAACTTAACCACTCGCATTATTTAGATGTAAATGTAAGATTCTTTTTTTTTATTATTATTTAGAAGTATTTTATGTATACCAAGTTAAAAATGTTTTATAAAATCCTAAACATTGTAATGGACTATATTATATTATACCTACAAAACATTTCGTGAAGTATTACAAATATTTGAGCTTTAGAGCTTATTAAAGGTGTACACTTCAATAATTACAATATATAACCATAATATTGAGTATGTAGGTACCTATTATCCATATTATGATATTTATTATATTATATAAGAAAATGTGTAGTTACTATTTATACTTATTAGTTATTTGTTATCTTAGTTTTATTACCAATTATAAATTATTATTATATATTATTCACACCAAATTATTATTTTAGTTTTCGATCTGTTTTGGTTTTTTACTATCAAATCGTGCACGAGGAGAATACATATTATTCATTTAATGGTTGATGATGAACTATGGAAGGGGGCCTTGAATCCTTATATGTCTCTAAAAACTATATACAAATATAATATATAATATGTATCAAAAACATATTATATATAACACATAGTTAACCATGTCTTATGTGACACATAAATTGACTATGCATACAGACATCATAATTTAAGTATACATAAATATTTTTTTATAGCTTATCATAATTACCTAATTTTATCTTATTGCTTATATAAATAATATGTTTAGAAAAATAACACAATCACTTGTTCCAAAACTGTATTTGTTCCAAGCTCTCATTTAAAATTGTAATTCTTCATATTATATATTATTGTAATAGCTGAATTTTGAATGTTTTTTTTTTCAATTATAAAGGTATTTGTATGTAGTATCTACGACTCGAAGGTACCTACTAGGGATCGCGGTTGTAAACGGGTATACACGGGTACACGGAGCCAGGATACGCGGGCAAAAAATATATTAAAGCCCGTATATTTAATATCCGTGTATACCCGTGTATTTTTTATATCTTCTTTTCATTATCAATTATAATCAGGTGCATACACACATTTATTTAAATATTGTAACTTATTAATATTATTGATGATTGTGATTACGAATTTCAAACATATACTAAGAGGCAGTGAACACAATATATTATGATATATGTAGGTATACTGTCATATTGAGTTCAGAAAGTGGAGCAATCTTAATTCAGCACTACAAAATAGTGAAATATGATTTTATTTAAATATATGAGTATTTAAGGTCACGGGTATTTTTATAACACGGGCTTTAACCCCGTCATAGGTAAAAACACGGGTGTCCGTGTAGTTCATTACACGTGTAATCGCGACCTCTAGTACCTACAACCTACTAATCGAACCCATTTGCAAACATCGAGTTTAGAATTTATGATTTACAATAGGTATTTTATCTTATGATGTTTATAAGTCAATAAATTAGTTTAAATACGACAAAAATAAAAAATAAAAAATATAATGATGATAAACGAAATATAAATGACAATTTGTTCAGTTATGAATAACTTTTTAAGTTATAAATCACCACGTCGGTACTTACCTATGATATTTTTCCGTTGTCTCATCAAAAAACTAACAAGTATTAAGTACCTACCTATAATAATATATTTTTGTGAGTGCATTTCTCTTTGAACATATACAGGGTGATCCATTTAACGTAAGACACTTAATCGTTTAGCCGTATACTTTTTACATAATAAGTTTCTTACGTTAAATGGATCACCCTGTATATTCGATAAGCTTTGTTACGTTTTGAAGTAATTTGTTCGGATGAATTCTAGTTTCTATATAGCAAGGGGGTCCCATGTCCAATAATTGGTTTCTTGGAATTCATATAATATAAAAAAGGGGAGGTTGGTAACCACTATGCTCTACTATAATAGGTGTCAAGTGTACCTCATCATTGAGTAGGTCACTGTAATGATGTGATCAATTTTAATTTAGTGATAAATCATTGCATACGAAAAACGATTCTGAGCGGAGTAGACGGTTTGTTAGTTTATATTACCAGTAAGTAATAATATTGTATTAATATTGCTATTATAATAATTTATTTACACCCCCCTCCACCCCTCACCACCATATAACCTTTTCACCCTCAAAGTTCCAACCAGATCCAATTTGCTACTAGTAACCACCCCCAAAGTTGAAAATCAGAGCATTTTTTCTTATATAAATATATCGTGTACACACCATAGATAAAAAACTCACACTATTGTAAAATCAATACATTCATCGCTCCACTCAGAATCTAAAATATAACGTCTAAATTCTGCAGAATACAAAATATATATATTACTCACCAATCACCAAAAACTATATCTACTAATTCTATAATTAGGTTTTGAAATTTGTATATTTATTATTTATTGTAGTATTGTACCTACTATACCTACATATTTTACTCTATTCTATTATATTATATAAGTAGGTTCAAACATTTACAAAAAGTAAGAAATCGTGTTGACAATGTTTTGGATGAACAGAGACCAAGTTTGGTGCTTGATAAGTATATTATATTATTATACATAACTACATAAGAAATAAACACCAAAGTCGATCATTGTTGAACGAATACATTAAGAAGGTCGCTTTTCACAATAGTTTACGACTATACAATGACAACCAAAGTCCAAACAAAAATAAATACTAGTAATCATATATTTTTTATTTATATTATATTTAAAGTAACAGTAAATAGTTCACTTCGCAGTTCGCAGCATAAAATACGCAAACCTGAAACCACAACATAACGTTTATATAATATTTTATACATTTATTAGTTTATTTTATTAAATTATTTATTTATTAGCATTCACTGCTACCTATGTATTATGCGATAATCCTATATTCTTGTTTTTTATAGTCACATACGAGTTATATATTATATTAAAAAGTTCAAACAGCATAAACATAGCTGGCCAAAAAATAAATTTTTAAAAATGTCGAACTCAGCAAAGACAATTTTGAAAATATTTATTTTACAATAATGTAATATGAAAGAATCATTTTAGATAAACACTTGAAGTGAATTTGCCAACCAAAATTAACTAACCATTAAAACAAATAATTAGATAATCGCAGATCAAACAAATAATAAAAAGTATTACAATTTACAATATAGGAAATAATGAAAATATTTAATTGTAGTAAAGCACCATTTTGTTGTGTTTGGTCCGAGGAACAAAATAAAACTACTTATCGCATAACGCATTACTTATACAAATTAAAACACAAAGTTTTTACTTTTTAACCTTTTAATCAAGTTCCAGTCTTTCTAAAATTTAACTAAATACCTTTTTTTGGTGCAATTATTCCACGTTCCGTTTTAAACGTAAGAGGAATTTCAATTTTTTCACATGGTAAAATTTCAAATGTCGATAACATTTTTGATAGAAGCAATTTCAATTCTAATTCAGCAAAACGTTTTCTTGTAATAATTCAGATGAAATTAAATGAAATTGATCAACTACAGAGTATAGTTATTATTTATTAATATATTATTCATATGCGATAGCTTACAAAAGTGTCCAAAATCAAGAGCGTCTGAGGTAGATATATCCATGGTAAAATACTAAAATTGTCCAATATCAAATTATTCGCTATAAAAAAAAAATGAGAATATCGAATGTGACATTACCTGAGCAATATCAGAATCGTTCACCCAAAACCTGATACTACATATTATGTGACTTGAAATAATCCTGGAGGAGATCTGCTGATATATAATACATTTTGAACAACTAAAACTTATTCTACAACAATTATGTAATTTTCAAAATAGTTTTATATACTACATTTTGATTCTTATTAAAACTTTATTGACAACAAAACGAAAAATTAAGAACTGTAATAATATAATATTGTATACAAAATATTTTTCATAGGTATTTCATATAATATGCCTATATTGTCTGTGTACTTCAATACTCAATCAGAACGACAGAACACGCAGAAAAATTAATTTATTAAATGTATTTTTGTCCAATTCGGTAATGCCATAACTCATAAGTATACACATATTACACATTCTGGATAGATATCCTTTCCTTTTTGGTCGATCAACAAAAATCAGTAGTTAATACCTACGAGTAATTCTTGATTTACTTATAATATAAATAATCAGAAGTCCAACAATATTTTTACGGATAAAATCAATTTAATTACCGATAGGTATGCAAATATGCTCATAGTTAATAAATCAGTCGTAACATTTTAATAACCATACTAATTTATAGTAACTAACCTAGGTATAGTAATATAGTATATTATAGTATGGATAATAATATATTCCTATATGGCATGTATCATTATAACGATATTATAATGCCAATTATAGGTCAAAATATAATATTGTTATTGTCTTACAAATATAAATCACGTCGGATTAGCAATAACTTGTTTTTGTTTGTGATGAGAACGTGTATTAACCCACATATTATGTATGACCTATGTTATGATAATATGTACCACTGGCGGAGCAAACTTTTTCACCAGTCTTGTCAGTGACAAAACAATAATTTCAATTGCCACCCACATATTTTATTCACTTAGGACCTAATATGATGGCCGAGGGGCCCTCCATTTAACACAGTGGTTGCTTAACTTGATTTTGTTTCAATTTCTTATTATTATTGCCTATTGGTAGGTAGGTACTTCAATAAAAATATATTTTCAAAATATTGTATAAATACTTCTATTATTAATTTTTTTATCGTTATTCATTATTAACAAATAAATTCAAAAAAATAAATATTCTGATAGCTTTTAACTATATCAACATTCATCATACATATAAGGGCCGAGCTAGAAATGTAATTAAAAATGTTGTTAAATATTATAACCATATAATTTGTTAGCTATGGATGAGAGGCCAATATCCCCATTTCTTGGCTACACCCTTAACAGAAAGACCTGAAGAATAAAAAAAAATGTATAATAGTCAACAGTATGACAATAATTACGAAAATTATATGGATAGTAAATAATTTAAGAATCAATGTATGCTATGGTAATCCCAAAAAAAAAAATGTTGAAGAAAGTTATTACGTTTCAAATTTATTTACCTACTCCAAAAATATAAAAATACTAATTGATTTAAATAAACGATTTTAACATTAAAATTGTCTAAAAATTAGATTTTAGCCAATTTTTAATTTGGCTATTATGAATTTTTCCAAAAAAAGAACTGAACAGAAAATATCTTGAGCAGACCGTAATATAGAACTGTAAACATGCATAATATAATAATTATAATATTAGATAGTCACATAAAACCTTTGGCCATAAAATGTGATTACCATATTATATAAAAATATATCAATATTATATTATGTAGCTAGTAGTGTCATCATGTTAATATATGTATACAATAATAGATATATTCCAAATTAATGTTAAGTATATCAAATATGCCATAAATGGCTTATTTATCCGATCTATATTATTGTAATTACTGAAAACTGTGCAATTTATAAATATTGAACAAATAGTTAATTTAATACCAAGTTAAAGCAGTAAAATATTATGTAGGTATCTATTAATTGTATCGACAATAAAATACCTATATTTTAATTACTTTTTAAAATGTTAAGCCAATTTGTTTTATGTTTAGGTGAATTATCACACACTAATCCACGATTGGCCTAAAATTTAACCAAATTCCATTTTTTGGTGCAGTTATTCCACGTTCTTTATTCATCTGGAGAGGTATTTCTGTTTTTTCACAAGGTGAAATGTCAAATTTAGTTAATATTTTTGATAGAATTAATTTCAATTCCAATTCAGCAAAACGTTTTCCTGCAAAAGCCAAAAGTACATAATATTATTATTATTTATTATTTATATTTTATTTTTTAAATTATAAATTAAATTCAATATTACATAACGAATAATGATTAATGATCATTGGCAAGTAAATTTATTTATATTATTGTACTCAAATATTTGAAATATCTTTATACCTATGCAATGGCGAGGTCCATCGCCAAACGGTAAAAATGTTCCATTTGGTCGCTTAGATTTTTCTTCCGCAGTAAATCTTTCTGGGTCGAAAGTTTCGGGATTTGGATAATACTTTGGATCGTGATGTATACTATAAATTGGTATTAAGATTTTTTGTCCCTTTTCAATCAATAATGACTCCCCGGGTACTTTATAATTTTGTGTAGCTCCTCTCAACAGGGCGGTAATTATGGTGTACTTACGATGAGTTTCTGAAATAACATAATGTATTAACATAGTGCGTTTATTATAAAAATAATTCAAATTAGCGTTTATCTACTTCAACGAAATAACTCCACAAGATAATTTATTAATAATATTTAAATATAATATTATTTTTATTACCGTCTAAAACCATATCGGCGTAATGAAGATCTTCCAAAAATTCATTGTTGAGCTGTCCACCGTGTTTTATTTTCGACGAGATTATCTCGGCACGTAACCTGTCTTGGATAACTTTGTTCAATGCCAATTCGTAAAAACAGAAAGATGCTGTGGCAGTTACAGTCTCGGAACCGGCCGTAAACAACAACATTGCATTTGCGATTATATCCAAATCACAATACTTTTCTATAAATAAATATAAAATTTATAATTATCAACGATTAATAGTCTGACCTCAGAATACGGCAATGATGATAGTATCTTTGATTAAATATAAATTATTATATTAAATCAACGATAGTGTATAACAATGTGTTAAGGAGCCTGCACGAGGCCTGTTTTTTTGCTCAAAACCTACCTTAAAGGAAAAACTCTCACGCCTCGTAAAGTAATCCGATTTCGATAATTTTTTTTTTTTTTCAAAGAGAAACACTTTTTACAGGGTGCATTGGACTTGGATTTTAAAAATTCTATTTCTAAACCATATAATACGATTTTGCGTGTGACCAATTTTCACAAGACATTGTTATTTGTATTCTGTTTGTTATAAGCAACGAAATTAAAAATTGAAGTACAGCGAGCCCTCTAGAAAATTATCCTCTTTCTAACCAGACAAAAAATAATCAAATCAGATCACTCTACGATGCATGAGACTATGAAAGTTTTTCCTGTAAAGGGTGTTATAAGCAAAACATCACATTTATTATTTTTCGTTGGCGGTACCGTGGTCATGTGGGCGTATGCAGCACACAATCATACTCAAACTAATCATTGACGACTAACACAAATTGTATGGGCGGCGCTATGAAATTGCACATTGCCTAAATATTACTCCTTATTAAAGCTGTTGAAAGCGAACCATTTTTAAGGGGTTGGATTTAGGCAATATTTTATATTCTTCATGAGTGACGTGTGACTGTGTGTGTAGTGACTGATCATTATAGTGTGTCTTTATATTATAATTAAAGATAAACTCCTGCTAAGAATTGTTTAAATCTGTAACGTACATAAGTGCAGTCACACGTCATTATATTTTACGATCAAAAAAGTTTGTACGTGAAAGTCCCCAAAAAAACACTCTACTTAACAATTTATTTACCATTTTTGATATATGTCCCTCTTATACTGACAGTACGATGATGCTAACATCATAGCCCATGACCACAAGAAATTTTTAATTTAGGCACAGAACAATAGGTTTAGGTATTTGACAACAAGCCAATGCGCTCGGGTATTATCAGATGTGAAGATTGATTGCACAGCATAGCTGTGTTGATATTAAGTATTAATAGAACGTTTTGTGAACAATGATTAGCTTAACAGGTAACAGCCTAAATCTTTGTGCTTATAAATCAGTTTTCGAAAAATGTTCTGTCCCCAAAAAAGTGCTGCCCGGGGCAATTGCCCAACCACGCCGCCCACCCTAAATACGCCACTGGCTATGCCGTACATTTGTAAGACGGACACAACCAGACAACAAACGCATTTGTAGCGGCCTCCTAATGGGACATTAACACGGACATTTTTTGTCTCAGTATTACAACTTACAAGTGCGTAACATGGACAATTTTCGCTCAGCAGATCACGTTAATCTTCGTTAGTTTAAAAACTATAGTGAATCGACCTATTGTAAAACTTTATGGCAAGAATATTATCTGTGTTCGTATGAGTGTTTTTTTAATGAAGGTTCAATTTTTTATCAAGTTTCAGTGTACCTACAATATAGAGTAAATTAAAAAAGCTCATAACTCTGCACTTAATAACTAAAGTAGTACCTCGTAAAAAATCCAAGTACAAAAACACTGATAATGTTCTTATCATCAAGTTTCATAATAGGTCGATTCACTCAAACTTTTAAATTAACGAAGCTAAATGTGATCTACTGAACATACGTTTGATATGTTACACCTTACACGCTTGTAAGACACAGATAACAAATGCTCGTGTTAAGCAGGGTAAACTAACACTTTGTACTGTCCATTGTTTGATTTGTACGGTAGAAATAAACCGGGAAATATTATTTACAAGATAAGATAAAATTGAATTGCTCAAAACGTTAGATCACAAAGTTAGTTCACAATATTGTTATCGAGATCAGTGTGATTTTGGTGGACAGTAGAATATAAACTATACCTACACGGCATACACCATACACCTATATAGGTTAGGTTAGGTTAGGTTAGGCTAACCTATACACTATGAACAAATCCAAAAAACTTTAAAAATGGGTATGGATATACTTATATACCATTTTAAAATGAATAATTCAAATATTCGTCGGAAGTATTCTTAAGTAGGTAACTTATTCTGGTGAAGTAGGTAACAACGAATCTGAATTGGATGAATGTGCTAGTCACTTGGACAAAAATAAAACAAAGCAAAACAGAAATACACAAAAGAAATGCACGAAGCCTGTATACAGCACGTAAATAAAACAATAACAAATACAAAATTACTTAAAATAATTTTCCATACGTTTAACATTTTAACTTCTAATTTATATATGATTTACAATTGACACTGTATTTTCAAAAAATCATGAAGCCTGTACATAGCATGAAATTATTTTTATTAATATTATTTATTTCTGTTAACTATATGAGAATGAATGACGTGTGTTTTGTACTTTTGTAATAAAAAATTTTGTAAAACATACCTATAGGCACATTTATTTCTACCTGAAATAGTAGGTACCGACTAGAGAGCCTTAATATAGGCTTAACTAGGTTTTCTGTACTGACTGTCCGTCATAATATACATTTTATTACCATCTGAAATAGACTATAGTCAATATAACAATACAGTAAAACCTCCCTATAACGGAACCGCTTGGGACTCAATTTTTTTCCGTTATAAAGAGTTTTCCGTTATAGGGAGGTAGAAAAACTATTGAAAGATTAATAGAAAATTATTGACATTTTCCTTTATAAGGAGGATTCCGTCTAATAGAGGGTCCGTTATAGAGAGGTTTTACTGTATATTGTTACTAAATAAGAAATAGGACAAACTGTAAACGACTTACATTTTTTCTAAGTGACCGTACAAAGTGTCTTACAACCGTTTTTTTTTCAAAACACCTGAACTAACCAAAACCCCAAAAAAAACATTTTTGTTAACCCGAAACCCAAATATTTTTTATTTTACAATCTTTATGGTGTATGTCATTTTTTATATGGTTATTCGATTTTGTAGAATTAGTTATGACTTTATGAGTTAGTTGTTTGTTTAATAATAACAATATTATAACAGTACCTATTTACAATTAATTATAACTTATAAGTAACCGCTATACATTTTTTCTTCCTAATTCTATCATTAAATTCTGTGAAACAAGAGTTAGTGTATTTTTTCATTTTTATAATAGTAGGTTTTTCGATATTTAATATGTTGGCCGTTAATGGGTTAAGTTTTAACTATTTAAAACTCAAATAATTTATATCGCTTAAAACATCGTTTTAAACAGAAAAAAACAGGTTAATACAAAAAATACAGTTTTTTTTTTCAAAAATGAAAAAATACACCAACTCTTGTTTCGCAGAATTTAATGATAGAATTAGGAGGGAAAAATGTATAGTGTTTACTTATAAGTTTTAAAAACAATGTTTTAAACAATTTATTTTAAATAACTTAATTTTAGTTTGATATGTAATTTACTTATATGCCAATATGCCGTGTACTAGTATTTATGTTTCATTGTTTATTTATTATTTATATACTTATTTTAAATCTTAAAAGTATTTGAAATATTTTCTAAATGGATGTTTTATGTGGACATTATATTATGTATGTACCTATTAACTATTAAGTAAAAACATTTTAAATTTGGTAATTTATCCAATAAAATTAAAATGAAGGATGGTAATTACTAATTACCATCCATCTTTTCATATTTAATAATAGATATAATTGAAAAACGGCATACTAAACGGCATTCTTCTTTGCAACGGATTAACTGATCTGAACCAAACTTGACACGGTGATAGTGTGGACATCGCAGAGTGCCAACAAGTGGTTTTGATCGATGTCCGCGACCTACCATCGAGGAATAATCACCGAAAAACTAAATTTAAACTAATTTTGATACCATAATTTGGTTTCCATAGAAACATAGATCCGGCATAAATCAATAATTTCACAACAAATGTACTTGAAATATATTATAAAAATAATAATATTAAAAAATATATTATCAAATCCATGTCATTCAAAAAACAAGTTCAATTAGCTTCGGTGTGTTTAACTCGCTCAGCTCAATTTCTTGCAATCAGCGAACCGCATTGCAGTCCTAGTTATTTTGTACTTTAACTTTTTTTCCGAAGCATATATATTATTATTTATTATTAATAATAAACAAAAAAAAACACAATATTCACTTGGATTTTACACTGTATTAAACATATTATGTTTTATTCGTTTTAAGCAATGAACAAAACGTTTAAAACAAATTTTTTAAATTCATGTTTAAACCAAATCGTTTTAAACATAACAACCCTCGTTTAAACACTTTAAACCAAATCGCTAAATATAAAATTATTTCAATTTTAATTAATGATTACTTTATTAGAATAATCAAAATACAGCCATTTGCCAATAGCAATATAAAATCTATACTTGTGTACGTGTATTTTCGGGTCTGGTCTGATCAGGCCTGGTACGGTCTGATGTCAAAAGTCAACTACTAAACTATGTATTGACAGTGACCAAATACAATAAATATAATTTATATTTAAACAATAATAATTTTAAAAAAAATATCTTATTAAAATAAGTAATAACTAAGAAAATTATGTTTTTTCTGGATTATCAATATTAACCCGAATTATAATAACGGTTATTAACCCCCAAACGTCTGTTTAGTTGTATACTATTTCGGTATTTGAACACCCCCAATGCATCCAGCACCCAAAACCCGAAACCCTAATGAATGATTCGGATTCAAAGTCCTGATGTTAAGTATGAGTTAGCATTAACTTTTCAAAATCTTTATAGTCTTACCTTCTCCCTTATAGTCACTGCTTACTACCAAATCCTGTCTCGCTTTCATTAAGGTTTGTGTTAGATCGTTTCTAACCACGTCATTTTTGGTCCTATACTCGATTACTTCGCTGAAAACTGAATGAAAAAAATCAACGGCATCTACGTCCACCGGAGAAGTTTGAAGTTTTAAGAGCTTTATGATTTTCGGAAATAGCACTCCAAGTATTTGAGCGAAAATCACTTTACCGCTGGGTTTGAACACTTTTTTTACGTTTTGTCTAAAGCTTGAATTATCGTTATTAATTGTGTCCAATTTCATACCGAAAGCGCACGTTCCAATCACGTCGGTGGCTGTATTGCCAACGAGTTCGTACACTTCAATGGCGTCGGTTTCCTGGGATTTCTCGTAAATACAGTTTGTCAGCTGATCGCTGCACTCCCGGATCTGTTCGTGAGTACCTTTGAGCTTACCGGACGTGAATCCCGGACTCAGTTTTTGTCTCATCGTTTTCCATTTTTGTCCGGTCGCAAAGAACAAGCTTCTCGCCATTACGTTCACCGAAGGGTTCATGTCAATACCGTGGTCGGTGAAATATGAAAAGTCTTTGATGATCACCGTGTTGATCAGCTCCGGATCGCGGAGCATCAAAAACGGAGTGCTCATTTGATAGAAACCGCAAAATTTCTCATCGGGAAACTGTTGATAAATCCGTCCGAAAGCGTCCACTTGGCGCTCTAAGCCCGTAAACATTTTGAATATATTCCCGAAAAAGGGCACCGGCTTTGCAAACGGCACATTTAATTTCCTCCATGTGTCGTACGTCGATGTCGTATAATAGTAAAGGAACGTACAGACAATAATCAAACTCAGAAAGATGTAGTCAAACAGCCAATTGGTGAGGCACGAAATCATGGTTACGAATGATGCAAGTACCTAACTTAATTATTGTGACTTGTCACAGGGAACACCTACGGGTGTATAATGAATTATATTGGTTCCCACTATATGAATTCTTAAGAAAAAAACTGCAAAAACGTAATACTTTTCGGTTTTTTTTTCCATTCTTAAATTAGATTTCAAGATGATATAACCTTTTTGTGGAGGGAATACAAAAATTCTGTAATTATATTACATAATATATAATATGCAATTATTGGTTATATATTACGCATTTACGCATATAGATTGCAGTGCCGCACTTTAAATCAGTGACCACTGATCTATATTATACTATGTTATTATGTTGTTATCAACTGCCGTATAGACTGGACGGGTGTTACAGTGTTATGTGGTCGCCGGGGAGTAGTGGTTTCTTACCTAACAGTTCGTATATTTATTATTACGACTAATATAGATAATCTTAAGTGTGATCTAAAATCATCAGGCATTACAGAGGTCAGACACGTGAATACGATTTATGGCATTATGGACCTAACACACTTAACCACGTCGAACTTCGAGACTACAAAAAAATATGTATTTTTTCAAGCAGCTTTACTGTACTTATTGTAGCCTTGATGGTGTGAGAACAATTTTCTATTGAGTACAATTTTCGTCGATTGATGAAAATATTATTTATAGGTTCTGCTGCAGAAGATTTGTAAAAGAATTTTTAAGTGAATTTTTCAAATTGTATAATGTATATTATTAAAGATACCAGTTATCTGGTTACTTTACCTACCTGACTTCAGCGAATTTTTGGTGGACGTATACTGCACACATACACTTTTATACATGATGTTATGATCAAAATCAAACTTTTTTTATGATATTAGTAATGTACAATAATTTGCCTACTAATATAATTACTATATTATTACGTCTTATGTCTTATATACTATGATTTGTATCACCCCAAGGCATAAGTCTATTTTCTACGACTATTACACAACAGTAAAATTATTTTTCTGTGTAATATTTATTTTTATAACCTACATAATAAGTACAAACATAATTTTCAACTTGACGTGCAAGTATAACTGTATAAAATGTAATGTATTATGTCACCATTCAAAATCCATTGTATGTATAATAAATAATAAAATAATTCAAATATGAAATAACATAAATTATTAAATAACAAAAAATAATTCATTTTGAATAAAATAGTCTTTACTAATTACTATAATAAAATAAACTTAAATTATTTTAATCATAATTTGTATTAAAAAACAGTATAATAAGATTAATCCATAACTGCTGCGTAATCTACATAAATTATCACTTATACAATAAAAACTATTTATGAAAATAAAACTCGTGTTAGCTTAGACTTTTACCTACCTACCTAGTTTAGGTTGGTTATAGAGAAACTTGAATACGTGATGTATATACATGAGACAACACGTGCGGGTGAAGCGTCTTCTTAAGTATATCGAAAATGTCACTAGGTATACATATAATATACATTACAATTTATGTACAGACCAATCATGAGTCACGACATATCACGTTTCAATTTTAAATCAAGTTATAATTTAGTGAGATTATGGTTTTTTCTATAGTATCGTCATGTTATTAATTACATAATATGTAATATAATATTATTATAATATTGCATGTATTAATGGGCTGACTAGCTGAGGAAGGAGAAGAAGAAGAATATTGCATGTATGTAAATGTGGGTGTATAATTATTAATTACACAATAAAAAAAATAATTGTGTAAATATACGTGCAATAATTTATTGTACATAACATTTTAGAACAGGTAAGAGCTTACGTTTATCAATATTTTTTTATAATAAATTCATAAACAGAATATGACATTATGACATAGGTAACATAATAATTTTCACGACTGTGAGTCTATGCCTATATCAATATATAGTTCGACCAGTGGCGCATTTACAATTTTGGGGCCATACTGCATGGTGTATTATATAATTTGCCCAAAACACTAGAGTAAGTACTACATGGAATTTGAATGAACACTTTTTCTAAAAAATGTTTCCAAAACCAAAAGTGTGTATACAACTTTCAACTTTCAGTATAAATCATTATATACTTTTTAATTTGTTGTACCTACGTAAAATATGTTTAGTATCTAACTGTATGGAGCATAGGCGGAGATTTGATCAATTTTGAGGGGGACTTAAATGTTGCTTTGCAAAGTAAGCCGTGGGGGTTTCGCCCCACACCCCCACTCTAATATCTATCATACCTTCACTCTTCAGTACGCATCAACTACTAAATTACTAAATTACAAAACTACTAAATATGAATTACTAACTATATAATATTATGCACTTTAAAAATTATTAATTTATAATATAATAAATATTTTATTATTTTAATACAATAAATCTATTTTTATTAGCAAATATATCAATAACTTTCTCAATACTGATATTGATATCTTTTTCAATGTACAATATTGAAGAGTTATTAAATTTTTCTTGCAGCATACATATATGGTAGTAGCCATGTCTTGACTTTGCGCATTGCAGAAAAGCTTCGCTCACATGTAGCCGAGCCGATTGGTATAGTTATGGCTCTCTAGCTAGCTGTAGTAGCTTGTATAAGTTGGGAAACACACTTTTAGAAATATTTTGTTTTATTGTATTATATTATATTCGACCGAAATTACGGTTTACAACAACAGTGAACAACGCAAGACGCAACACGAAAGACGAAACGGTCGATCAGCAATCGGCAATCGCACAGTCTGATTATCGGAAATTTCTATTTTTGTCACTGAGATAATGCGATAATGCGATAACAATCCGTCGCGACCACGGTCAGCTGCCGGTGCGCACCGATGACGATTATGTATTATACCATTATGGTATAATCATTTTTTTTGTCATGGTATAATGATTATTATTATATTGACATTTAATTTGACAACATTTCGGGAAAAAAAAATTATTTTGTAAAGTTCCAAGATTTTGTCGATCGTTGTAAAATAAGTACCTATTTTAATATTTTATACTATGAAAAATGTTTAATAATTTTGGGGGGGGGGGCTTTCGATCTTTTTTTGGGGGGGAAGCCCCCCATTCACCGCCTATGGTATGGAGACCACACTCGAATCTGTCATATACTCATATGGCACATAGTACTGACTACTGATGGGGGTCAGGCGGTTAGCGTACCCTTCTACTATCGATTTATTAAAAGCGTTACACATACTAGATAAGAATCGTATTGAAAGGCAACAATAGAATAAAAACGTCACAACTATTTTATATTATCAACATATTTAATATACATATAAATTAAATTTAGGTAATTAGGTATATTATTAGTGTAGTCTCTTAAAATGAATAAATCGAAAGTTTGTAAAATCTTGAAATATTCTGATACTTTAAAGTGTTTTTCCTAATTTTTCCTTTAGAAAATTCATTTATTACATCATCTAAATCCAATGTCCAATGAAAATCATTTTTTATGCATAAGATGACCAGGCTAATCAATTTTATTTTTAAGCTACCACGTACCTAAGCTACCACGTATGCTCGACGATATTTATAATTATCAGATATATGAGAAAATAAATAAAAAAACATAAAAATTATATATCTTATGAGTTTTTTAATGATAAGTATGATTTTATTAATTTCATATTATGATGACTGATAAATAGAATGAAATAATGAAATTCAAAAGAAAATTTCATTGCGTACAGAAAATTCAAGTGTAGATACCTACGTATTTCATTAATAGTTGACGGTTTTAGGTTTTTACTTTTTAAGAATAACATTTTTTTAACTACTTATAATAAAGTACATAATAATTTTAACAAAATGTAACAAAAATAGTTTGATTAGATTTCGTTAATTGTACGTTAGGTTATAGCATGGATATTGCCAGAGATCCTGACAATGGTATTTTATATTCTGAGTGGAAGGATGAATGTATTGATTTTACAATGATAAGTGTTTTTTTTTTATTTTTATTTTTTTTTTGTGTCTGTGCACACTATAAATAGTCGAAATAATGCTGCGATTTTCAACTTCAGTATCTTGTTCGATTGGAAAGTGAATCTAGTTGGTGCAATCGGGAGGTCAAATTTTAAAATTCACAATAGTTTTTATAAGCGAAGGGATAAACACATAAAAAGTAAGGAATAACGGGAATTTTTTACGCAAAATCTGTTTTCCAAAATATCGATTTGGGTTTTTGGTGTAACTATAAAACAAATGAACGTATATACATGAAATTTTCACTGGTTGTTTATATTTGCATTTTCTATACACGATACATTTTTTAAAAAATTATGATTTGTTTTGAGATGTTTAGGGACATTTTCATTTTCCATTTTTTTTAGTTTTTATTCTAAAAATATCAAAAACATTTTATTGGTTGGTTTCGAAAGCTTGAAAATTTAATAGAAGGCTCCTAGTATATTGTTTCAAAGGCAAATGAAAAATATTAAAATCCTTAGTCACCTTTTTTTTTTATAAGCATTTAAAGTTCAAAAATTGACAAAATATGGAAAAATCATGAAAATTAGCAAATTATTTTGAGTTAAGAATTCGTAAAAATTTTTCTTTTTAAATTTAAGATTTGAAAATGTAATACAAGATTACTCATAAGATTGTCTACCTTTATCAATAAAAAAATCTCTACCGGAAAGTCAAATTAAATTTTTATAAGCGTTTGAAATTCAAATTTTTACAACATTGGATATTCACTCGATTTCTCATGTAGCGATTTCCTTATTTTGTTGTAATTCAAAAACGAATAGCTGTAGATACATGAAAATTTCACTGAATGTTCATATTAGCATTTCCTATACACTGTACAATTTTGAAAATATTTTGACTCTTTTTGAGCTGTTTACAGACATTTTCAGTTTTCAATTGTTTTTTTTTTCTTTTCTATAAATATCAATAAAGTTTTATCTGTTGGGCGAAAAAGTGTAAACATTTAATACAAGGCTCCTGATATATTGTTACAATAGCAATTGAAAAATATTAAAAATACATAGGCACAATTTTTTTATAAGCATTTAAAGATCGAATTTTGACAAAAATTATCAAAATCTCGAAAATTATCAATCATTGTAATTAATAAACTATAAAATGTTCAGATTTTATAGCTAAGGATTGCAAATTTAAAACAAAGGCTCTCATAAATAGTTCATACTGTAACCAAAAAATCTAAAAAATATAAGAACACAGTTATTTTTTACAGATATTTTAAATTCAAATTCGGACGAAATTACATAATAAAAAACCTAGAATAACTATTTTAGTTATTTGTTGTGATTGTGATTGTATAATATTATTCGTGGGTACTTGAAACTTCTAAAGTATACTACTATATTTCTATGATAGTATCAAGGTTTGTTGTTGGTGTATGCTTATAACGCGTTATAAGCATAGATAATACATTTATTATCTATGGTTATTTATTTATTTATTTATTTATTAAGTATTAAATGGGCAAGGCCCTGTTACAATAAACAATAATATTACAATTATATGATAATGTATAACAAGAAGAATAGCATTGGTAATGATAATAACAATAATAATAAGTAATATTAATAGTAAACATAGACATATAAGTAAAATGTCTATGGAAATTGGTTGAGATAAAAGACAAAGAATAAAATTATAAAAATACATAGAGTGTTTAAACGTTAAGAGTTAAATAATTACAATACGATTTAAATGAGTCTAAATTTGGTGAGCTGAACATATCAATTTTAAATGTGTTAACAGTTTTCATTAATCTATTGCAGGGAGTATTATTTGAATAATTGGTAACTTGTAGGCTTAAACGAAAAGTGTTAGTCGATCGCGTATTAAAAGTGGGAGTATAGAAGGTTAAACGGCTTAAAAAATCGGGACAGTCTACATTACCATTCAAAAGCTTATAAAGGAAACATAAGTCAAGACTTATACGTCTGTATTCCAAAGTCTGGAGGTTTAATAAAGATAGGATTGGATTGTATGTTGTGTGAGGTTCTCTAGGTATGGAACACTTAAATGAGATAAAGCGTAAGAATTTGTGTTGTACTTTATCCAATCTTGTTTTTTTGCCTGTCTGGTAGGGAGACCATACAATAGAACCATATTCACAGATGGGACGTATTAACGAACAATAAATTGATTTTAGAGTAAATTTATCAGTAAAATCTGAACAACTGCGATTAATAAAACCTAATAATTAATGTGATTTGTTAATAATCATGTGAATGTGACAATCAAATTTTAGCTTTGGGTCAAATAATATACCTAGGTCTTTAATAGGACCGTTAGAACGAAGAAGAGACAAATTATTTATAAAATAATTATAGTTAGTAGTCGATCTAGATCTAGTGAAAGTCATTATTTGACATTTATTAATATTGAGTGGTAGATAAGTACCTAATGGATATTGTGATATGATTAATTTGGAATTCATTATAGGTCAATTTTTTTTAATACAATAGATAAGTATATAATATGTCTTATACTTAGAAGGACACACCGTCTCCGCTAGTCCGCTCAGAATCGTTTTTCTTATACAATGATATAATATCATTGAATTCAAATGTAATACCATCCATTATACAGTGACCCACTTGTAACCTACTGTACAGCAGAGCGACACCCACTTGAACACCTTTTTTACTTTTTAAATAAATATATTATAAAATATCTTAGGCTGACAAACCGCGTTTCAGCTCACTGCTCAGAATCGTTTTTCGCATACAAATATACAACAATATTATACAGAGGCGTGCTAAATAGTAATTTTTTGAGACAATTGCCTCAGGAAAAGTTCGGGTACGGGGTAGGTGGGTGGGTGTGTTAGTATAGATGTGCAACTTATACCTAAAAAAACTTAATTATATTTATTTTTTTGAATAATAAAAAAAAACAGTGAAAAAACTGTTGGTGGTGGGGAGGGGGATCAAATTGTATAGTTTGCTTCAGGTCTGCTTGTCAGTTCGGCATGCACTGATATTATATTATCATTGAATTCAAATTTAACATCATCCATTACAGTGACCAGTAAGCAGTAGTGCAATCAGAAGTTTTTCAGTTGGGAGGGGGGCAGTGTTTCAAAATCACAAACATTTACAAATAATTTTGTTTGATATTTTTTTCGTTGACTAAATATATTTCAGTTTTTATAAAAAATAAAAAAAAAACTTTTATATTAAAACGTTTATACTATCAATAATCAAATAAATCTCACTCGACTCATATTATTTGCTATATTTTGAACATAATTTACCTTAATTTCGTCGTCACTTAACCAACTAAAAATCCTATATTTTTATTAAGCTAATATTGAGGAAAAAACCATTAATTTGTCATGGAGAAAACGATGTCTTCAAAATAAGGCGGGAATCTGGCAGCGAGTTCTATGGTTTTAGACAGCCATGCATTCCCCCGGCCCGGTCGCACTGCGACGTTTTTCCACGATCTGTGATAACGGCACTCGTTGCACTGCTTTTGATAAGACATGTCCATTTGTTTTTGTTTATGCGCAAACAACGACTAATGAGTAGAAAAAAAAAATAATACGATTCGCTTTCAATTCGTCCGGTTGCCGACAGTAATATTATTATTATTTTCGTTTGTCTCGCACGTATTTTTCTCGACCATTTTCTCGACGACTCGTCATACGGAAGTAATGAAGTTGTGTTTGTAGTCCTGACCATGGCCAATCTTGATGGAGATCTGTCGCGTATGTCCATAGGTGAGTTTGATGAATCCGGCACCGCGGTTTACCAGTCAAAACTGTCCATGTCCCGATGCCGGCGTGGAGGCCATATGCGTTTTAGGCCTTGTTTTGAATTCCACCGTAAACAGCAAATGCCGCTAAATCGGTGGCGACCGTTCCTCTCCACCTTAGACGCCGTGTCGTCCTCACCATTTGAAGGCCGCGTGAAGTTCGTTTTCGAACGCCAACGTTCTTGTCGTTTTATTATTATTTTTCCTCCATAAATTCGGTGACATCGAAGACAGTGACGTTTTCGATAGTCGCACCGTGTTCGCATTTATGTTTTTGTTTACTCTGGTCTCTGAGATAGCCATTGTATCATTTTACTCTGTGTTGTCATTCTACACTTCCAAGTGCCCATGTCTTTTCTGTGTGAATTTCTGGCGGGTTGCACTTCATAATCATTCGGGCTTTACAATATTAATGAGTCATATTTATTTTTGGAACCTAGGTTCTTGAGATCTCTATATTTAAATTGAACAAAACAAAAAAAGCAATAATTAATAAGGGTTTTTATGGTTTCTTACAGTTTAATTTTGTATTTTATACCCATTGATTGTTGTCTTATTTATACCTGTTAAAATTATTATTTTTAATTTTCCATGAATATTTATTTATTTATCATTACAATTTTTGACTAATACTTGGGTACATTAAGTAAACAAGAATTATCTTGCACTAAATTGTGTAATGGTCTGTCATTAGGATATCTATTGTTAATTATGATCAGACAAATATTAGTAATACTGTAAAGCTATGATAAATATATTTTTACATATTAATATTATTCATTATAAACTTTAAACGACCATAAAAATAAAATTGTGACTAATAAATATTTTCGATATTTTTTAATTGCTGTAAGAAAAAATATGGGAAGCTTTGTATTATTATGTTTTTATTAGAAAAAAAATATGAGTTATGAATTGAAAAAAGTGAATTTTTCAACTGTTTATAAATAACTTGGAAAGTACAAAAATATTTTGAAATTTATATCATGTCCAGGAAAAGCTAATATAAATATTTCGAAAAAATTTCAAGCCTCTACAGTTAATCCTTTTTTGATTACAAACAAAATCAACTTCTATATTTTTGAAATTTGAGAAGTTTCTACTCTTGACTTTCAAAATTACCAACCAGATCCAATTTTCTATCAGACACTACCATCAAATTTGAAGATTAAAACAAAAAGATTTCCTTTTGTAAAATGTGATGTAAAAAATAACACCCATTAACATAAAACCAATTAATTCATAGTTCCTTTCAGAATCTAAAATTAATAAAAAAAATATAAACTTTCTATTTCAAAAATTACTATATTTAATTCTTATAAATATAAGACGTAACAATTACCTATATATTGTTAATTAATAGTGTGTATTTAAAAAATATTAAATAATAAATGTAATAAATAACCTCTAATTTTAATTTTCCTTAATATTATATAGTTAATATTAATGTTAATTTTGTTAATATAGGCGATGATTCGATTAATAAATTTGGAAGGAAGGACAAGTTCCCAAGAGAAGTAGAAATCTATAGGCCTGGAAGTGGACCATTAAAACGAAGTGGTAATTCTCGCCAAGATGTTGATGATGACGACAAACGGTCTGGATTTGATCGTGACCTTGAATCATCTAAAAAGAGTGATTTTATACCGAATAAACATTTTGAAAATCCAAGTAGAAAAAAAGAAAATTTTCCAAGAGGTCAAAAGATGAATGGCGTTGCAGCTGATAACTACAGTACTTTTAATTTAAAAAGGAAACAGCAAAAGAAAACACAACTATTCTATGAGCCACCCAATGAATGGAGTAATGATAAACGACCAGATCGACCTCGAGTAAACTTTGTAAATCCCAACGATTCCAAAGGTGATGATGATAATAATTGGAGAGCACATAAAGCACCTAATGTAGTGATTGTTCCTAAAGTGGTTAAAAAAATTGATGAAAAACCAGCTATTTCAGAAAAAATCATAACTTCAAGTGATATTATACCTACCATGATTATTAATACACGTGTTAATACAGTACAAAATATCCCAGATAAAACACATGGCTTTGGTAATAAGAAACGAGAAGAAAAGAAAGTGCCTTGTAAACCTATAAGTAGTGTTGTTTTAATGAATTATGAAAAATTGCCTCCTAGATTGCAAAGAAAATTTTGTGATGATTATCATATCTCTATGGAGGAAGTAGAAGCATTGTTAACAAATGGATTACTGTCTCAAGATGAGCATAATAAACAAAACAGTTCATATCAATCTAGAAGTCAAACATTACCTCCAAGAAGTATCGGCAAGGGTCGATTTCATGAACCACAAAGACATGAACCACAAAGACATGATCCACAAAGACATGAGCCACAAAGACATGAACCACAAAGGCATGAACCACAAAGACATGAACCACATAGGCATGAACCACATAGGCATGAACCACAAAGACATGAACAGTTATTTTATAGGACTAATTCTAATCAACTGCCACCAAAGACTGAAACGAGGAGACAGCAATCCGCAGTTGTTAATACTGTTAATAGTTCAACTGAATCAAGTAGAAGAGGTGCTGATATACCTACCAAAGTTTATAATAGTCATCATGAATCTAAAACTGCAGATCATAATGCTAGGGTTGATACTGAAAACAATCATTCTATTAGTATAAAGCAGCCTATAGAAAGTGCAGTTTTACTCCCTAGTGGCACAATTGTAAGTTTTACCTTATCAGCAATATTTATTGAATAATTTTGTATGTTAAACATTTATAGAATTGGGCTGAAGAAGTAGAACGAGCAGAAAACATGTCCAAAGTTGCAGAAGATTCAAAAAAGGAAGTTGAGAGATTAGAAACTGTTGAAAAAACATTAAGTTCTCCTAGAGATAGAAAACAGAGAAAGTAAGTGATAAACAAAATGTGATAGATCGTGTGGAATTTTTAATTTAATAATCATACATTTTCTTTAGGAGTGTCAGTAAGGATAGAAATTGTATTATTAATACATTACCTCCACGTGACCAACCATCTAGCAGTACTCACTCTAACTGGCATTCTCAAAGTAATGATAATTCTGAAAGCTTAAATAGTAATGGTGGAAGCTGGAGAAAAGAAAAACCTAAATCTAATAGAAATTGTAGTAATGACCGATCGAGGACTCGTTCACGAAATCGTAAAAACAGGTTAGTTCTATATACACTGTTTTTATATTTTTTTATATGTATAGTAATTTTGTTTTTGATTATAGAAATAACAGTGAAAAATCTGCACCACATAAATCTGAAAATGTTGGTGGTATTATAAAACTACCACCTAATGTGAATGTCAATTCCAATGATAGCAAGTCACTTAGTCTTAGTGGTTATTTAAAACAGACCGTTCCAACCACAACCACGCAATCTTCATATCCGGCAAAACAATTATTTAATCCTAATAACCCGAATAAACCTATAGTGATATCTCCTAAACAACAAAACGTCAGAGCAGGTTATCCGCCTGCTAATATAGAACCACATCATGCTAAAGAACATTTTCCAATGAATATTAATAATACAAATGCTCAACAATACTCTGGTGCACATTATGGTAGTGCACCGCCTGCTTGGTATGATCCATACACAGAAAGGTACTGCTATAAAATAATTAATATTTAAACATGGATGTACTTAGAACACATTTTTGATAGGGTGGTTGGGGGTTATGAAATATTATTATTTTTAAAAGTGATGCTAATTTTCTAAGTTTGCATACTAATTAAGTAATCCGAAAAATATTGTGGTTGCAGGTTTTCATGAACCCTCCTCCTGTAACTACATGATTGGCCTTTAAAATAATTTAAAACTAACAATCATGTGTGTTAATATTAATAATTTTCAATTTTAGTTACCGTGCCTCAATCTATCCAGTTTTGTTATTGGATATAAAAAAAGCGGATTCTATTATAGGAAATTTAGTTTTTGAACCAAATATGCTTCAAAATTGGCCAATAATCAATTCATGCAGGTTTGTATTAGACTCAAATTAATAATAGATATCTATAATTAGGTTTTTTATTTTAGTAAAAATTATATATTTATTTGAAGGGAGTTTTTAAAAGATTCATTAAAAGAGCTTTTAAAATCAGACATGAAATTTTGCCAAAGAGAAAATATTGAAACACACTTTTGGAAAATACTTTACCACAATATTATTGAACATCTAAAAAAACTTATAAATGAAGACTCATCAGAATTAGTAAAAGACTATACCACGTTACTAATGAATTTAATAGAAGAAGTATGTAATTTAGAAATGTAGCTTAAAATTAAAAGTTTTTTTTTAAAACATTTAATATTTTTAGGGTATGAAGTATATGAATGATCTTTTAAAACTATTGGAAAAACATTATAATTTCAATTTGGATGATTATGTATCTTTGACATGCCTGTCTACAAAAAAACTTGGAAATATTGGTCTTGCTTTAATATCATCGCAAAAATTATACATATCGTTAGGAGACTTGGCAAGGTATAAAGATATCATGAATCATAGCACTAATTATGTTATTGCCAAACAGTAAGTATTGATTGAACTATTATAAATTGTAACATCTATCTCACGAGTATGATTTTAGATGGTATACCAAAGCCAACCAAATAAACCCAAAAAATGGTCGGCCCTACAATCAGTTAGCGCTACTAGCTGTGTATGAAAAACGAAAACTTGATGCAGTTTATTTTTATATGAGAAGTTTGATGGCTTCAAATCCTTTTCAGTCAGCAAAAGATAGCTTATTATCTTTATTCGAAGAATATAGAAGAAAGGTAAGATAATGATTTAAAAGTTTTTCTTCACTTTGGCTCACATTTTTATTTGTTTCAGTATGAAATGACTGATAGAAAACGTCTAGAAGATAGGGAAAGACGTGAACGTGAAAAAGCTAAAGAAAAAGAGAGTTCCATGTCGTCCAAAGAAAAATACAGTAAAAGAAGGAAAGAAATATGGATACACCCAGATGGCAGTAAACGGTCTCATAGAACAACATCATCCACTGAACCAAATCAAGACATTGATGAGGAAGAACTATCAAAACTGTCTCAGTCTGAAGTAAATTGGCATTTTATTTTAGAATTAATTTGAAGTATCTTCTAAGTATATAAAACTGTATAAATAAATATTTGTAGTTGTAAAAATATTTTGTTCAACTTGATAAAATTGTACAGGTGAATAAAAGGTTCATTGTAAGTTTTCTACATGTTCATGGGAAGCTGTTTACTAAAGTTGGGTAAGTTCAATTTTGTTTACATCTACTTTATAGTGTTAATGTGTTCGCATCTTTTTTAAATATAATATATTTGTTTTTATTGGCACAAATAGGGGTGGTGGGGAGGGGTCCAAGTCCCCTCAATTAAAAAGTTATTCGTTAATACGAAACATATATCATTTTTAAAAACTACTTTGTTGGGTGGTAGGCTTTAGACCCCCTATAAAATGTGGGCTATTTTCTCCCATGTACAAAACTACTGAAATATTAAGTATATTTAATTTTTCAACTTATTTACATGTCCTACTGTCCTAGTTAGTTTAAAAATCCTTGAAATAATGCTTACTCTTGGAAATTTGATATTGAATACTAACTTATTTAAACAATAACTATTCGATGATTAAAAAAAGTGCATACAATCACCAATACAGATATTACTTATAACTTATTACACCCGGTTTAAGAGGATCCCAAACTTTCACATATACAAGTTCACATAATTAGTGAATTAACTTTTTATGTACAACTTAAAATATTTGTCTTAACTTTATTTAATTATCATTTTATATAATGGTAAGTTTAGTCTCTGTAGTTCTTTTTATAGGCTTAAATAGACCCCTTGGCTTGCTTATACTCTGTTCAGCGAGAGAACATGCCAATTCTGCACATCTTCACTCGACATAATGCTATCGAAACTGTGGCAGAGTTTTGCATTTAGATGTGGAGGAGAACAAATTTTGTTGGCTGCGGTGTGTTGTTTTGCTGGACAGAGTATAGGAACTCAATGTTACTTAATCCTTTGTTTTAATAATCTATTTACATCACTAATTTCCAAGTTTACAAGTAGAAAGAGTAAATATTTTTAGTAGTTAAAATTTTTATTATCTTTCAACAAATTTTTTTGTTCTTGAAAAATTATAAACATCAAATTTTTTTAAATGTAAATTATAATTAATAAAGTTAGACTATTTTATTTTTAGTATGGAGAGTTTTCAAGATACTGCATTACAAATGTTAAGGGAATTTCGTAAGTTATTGTCAAATACACCAATACCAATCATACCGACACGGTTTTTGCAGTATTTGGCTTTGAACATGTTTTCAATTGAATACAGTCGTCCAAAAGGTAAACAAAATCAATTTCATTGAAATAGTTTAATTACACAATTAATCATTGTTTTGTTTATTTTTATGAAATTTATTTATTATAGAAACACACGTTGAACAAGGATATTGGTCTACAGTTCATGAGTGTGCTTTGGTAATGTCATTACAAATGTTTAGTTTGATTGTTGACCGATGCAATCAACTTTTAAAAGATATCTTAAATAAAGATGATGGGTCTACAGCTAAACAGTTGATTGGTAGTGACATAGACTTTCTGTTACCGCCCATTAAAGTATGATGATTTAGATAATCTAAGATTAAAATCAAGGAAATTATAATTCAAATTATTTTTGAATCTAGGTATGGTGTGATTGGCTTCTATGCAATTCTAAAGTATGGAATCCACCTCCATCATGTTCGGATTATAAACTCTCGTAAGGTTTTTTTTTTTTTTAAATCTTTATGCTATGATCAATATAGGGTAGTTGTATGGGCTGAATTAAAAGTTTTGGTGCCCTGTGGATATTTGTTTTATGACCACCTATATTTAAATATTTTCCCAATAGTTTACTTGAATGCATGGCACAGTAGGTATTATTAAAATATTAGGGATAAGCCGTATACTCGGTTATATCGTATATCTTTTTATTATTACTATCAACCTTTTACTTAAATATTTAAACTAAGTAATCATTTTTACTAAAAAGTTCAAAATATTGCCCACAAGTATATCAACAATTTCAAATGCTCTGTATATTAAAATTCAAATTACAGATAATAGTAATTATTATTAACATTTAACTCTACCCAAATTTTCTATGAATTATTACACTGTACACATCAGCCATGTGTTATTGCTTGTTGTTCAATACCCGACTAACCTTATTGATTGAAAAGTATACATCTTGTACTATTTTCTTCCATGTTTTGTACTTACTATATATTTTTCAGTGGGACTGGGGATTGTTGGTGTCGATTAGCTTCATTGGTAAACAATTTGGAAAAATTCCAAGAGCATTATAAATTAGTCTTGAATGAGCCTGATGAAAGTGATCCAAGTAAGAGAAAAATCTTATTGTTTTGTTTGGATGTATATAGAGATGTATGATATTACATAAATGATACATGGTTAATACATTTTAGGTCTACGGCAACAACTTAAACTGCCTGAAGATTCTATGTTTAGTGGTTTTACACCAATAATTGGTTATGAGCTAAAACCTACATTTATTTCAACTACTTCAGATAGAGTAAGTGTTTGTTTATACATAATATTATTGTTACGATATCTAGAAATTAATAAGTTATATATTTAGGTCCTGTCTGAGCTCACACATAGAGTGAATTGTATATTGTTCTTTGGAACAGAATTTTTGTGTGGAACTGAGCCACCTGTATTTAAATTACATAAAACCGATACTGGAGCAAGTGAATATATTTCTGTTGTTGAAACAGCTAGCCCCAAAGACGATGTAATTATATTATATTACATGCCATCCAGCGTTTAATAATTAATAATATTTTATAATAGAGTGATGACGAGGAAATGTGTTTTGAAAGTTGGATTGATGAGGAAAATGATTTGAAATCAAGACCATCTGAAGACAAATCCGTATCCGAGTTACAGACTAAACCAATCTCAAATGAAATACAGAAGCTTCTAAGCAGAAAAGAAGAATTGGAACAAAAACAACGGAACGAAGAGCTAAGACAAAAACGTGTACAAGTATGAAAATTATTGAAATTCAAAAAAAAAAAAAAAAATTTAGTGGTTGTAAACTGATGGTATTTTTTTCTTTCAGGAAATATTGAAACAAGCATCGTATTGTATTGAAATTGAAATCAAGCCGCATTATGTTGTTCCAGACACCAACTGTTTTATTGATTATTTGCCACAACTCGAGAAATTAATATATTCTTTATCGCATGCACAAGAACACACGTGTACTCTAATGATTCCCACAGTTGGTAAGTTGAATGATAATAATTAAAATTGATATTATGTGTATGATAATTTATTGAATTATAATAAAAGATTCAAACCCTATTTTATATTTGATATTAGTACTAATTGAATTGGAAGGATTGGCCAAAGGTGGATGGGTCAGAGATACAGTGTGTGATGCTGCTAAACAGGCGTTAAAAATATTAAAAAACATTGATTCAGCTGCAGTTAAATTTGTGACTACCAAAGGGTCAAGTTTTAAATCAACAACATGTTTTGAAGAAGAAAACAATTTTGTATGTTTTGTTGGTCTAGCAATTAAAATGTCTAAATTCTCATTTTAATGACTGTTTATTATTTAGGTGGGAAATAATGATGATAAAATATTGGCAACTTGTTTAAGTCTATGTAAAAACAATTCTCAACTACCTATAGCTGATAATCCACCAGTAGAAGGTAAATTAGCAATTATAAAAGTACAAGATTGGTATTTTATTTATTATATACTTGTTTCAGGGGAACCTAAAAAAATATTTAGAGATGTTGTGTTGCTGACAGAGGATCGAAATTTAAGAGTTAAAGCTCTCTCGTCAGACATGCCTGTAAGGGCAGTAATGGATTTCATAAACTGGTTGAACTTCATTAGTAGTTGATCCATTCGGTTTCAGTGGTAGGAATGCTATATTGTTCCTAATTACAAAGACTTTTGTAGTGAAATTTTTAAATACCACTGTTTATGGTAAGTATTTATTATTTTAAATAATTTTTATAAACTATAATTTTAATCTATACAATATTATACAGATTCAGCTTAGTAATATTTTATTTGGCTATGGTTATTTGATATTATCTATGTATCTACCAAAAATTAGTAACTTATTTAGGATTGTATGATAAATTCTGCAGTATTAAAATATATTTTTATTATTTAACTAAATTTAAATTAGAGTAGTTCTTTGTTATCAAGAATATGTTAGTCAGAGCACTTTTTTTTCTTTTTTTTTTTATTAATGATATTTTAACATTACATTATGATATCTCGACAATTATGTACATTAATCTGGAATAATATAGTTGGTAAAGCTCATACTCTTAAATTCGGAGGCCTGATTGCAGAATAAAACTTAGTGTATGTTTTATTATGTTAACATTGTCGGTTGAAAGAGCATCAATGAGGGAAAAATTAATACCAGAGGTGGAAAAGAGATTCTTTAGCTGAGATCTTTGGAGAGAGATTTACAGTTTGTAAGAAGGTGTTGGAAGTCACAGTATTCTCTACCACAGTTGAGTATTGGACAATACGTGCTACTGTTGAGTCCCAATTTAAATGAGTGGTGTGTGGTATAGTATAGGCTGTGGACCGTGCGTAATCTGGTGAATTTAGTTATGGCAGAGCGGCTCATCTTTAGGGATTGAAACCGTGATTGAATAGGGATGTTTTTAAATAATGACCTACAACCAAAAACATAAGACTGGTAGGGAATCCCATTCCAGTTTCCATAGCTCCTGTATGGATGTGCGATGTATAGTGACTAAATCAGTATAGGGACACCACAGAGGGCCCGAGTAAGACTGGTTGGCGGTGGAGCTAGTTAATGAATCAGCGTGTTTTCACTTTTAATTTGGTTTAATTTGTTTGTTTGGCTGATCCATATGTTTTGCCAAAGGGAAATTGTGTTTTATTTAATCTGTTTTCTTACGTCAGTGGACTGAGAGATGTCTATGTATTGTGCGTCATTTGAACGAATAGCAAGTTTGGTTTGTTAATCAGTCCTTTCATTGCCATCTATTCCTAAAGTCGATTTTATTTTTGCTACAACTGCGTGTTTAAAATTTTGAAAATTTTTTAAAAAAATTGCCTGTTAAAAATAAAGAATCACGTCTTTTTTGACCCTGTGAACATGGCAGCGCAACATTAGCAGACATCGATCCAATCAATCCAACAAATTGGTTGGTGGACAAATGTTGTAAGTAGTCCAACGGTGTCCAACAAAATGGAGAAGAAAAAATCAATCCAACAAATTTGTTGGTGGACAATGTTGTAAGTAGTCCAACGGTGTCCAACAAATGGAGAAGAACAATTCTAGCACAAAAAATATGTCCCAACAATGAGTTGCGCTGCTGGCGTGGACCTTGGCAGCGCAAAATTGGAAATTGGCCCCCCGGTGAAAATAATGTCCAACAAATTGTGTAAGTTATCCAACAAATTTGTTGGATTGATTGGATCGATGTCTTCTAATGTTGCGCTGCCATGTTCACAAGGGTCTTTTTTTGTTTTAACTAAATTCCATATCATCGATTTATAATTGTTATAAAAAAAAAAACCACTTACAATGACGTATGATACACTCTGTATATTTTTTGTATAGTATAAAATTATACAATAATGTAAGTCGTTAATATGTAATGATACAATTATTTTGAAGTTAAAGTTGAAAGGGGGCCCACTAAGTGTAAGGTGTCCCGGGGTCCAATTGTTCATTAACCCGTCGTAGACAAGACACTATTAAATGTATTTTAATAATGCCCGTGGCGCATTTATGTACCTAAATTATAAATTATAATAGGTGATAAATATCTAATAATATGTGGGCAATTCGGGACGTTTTATAGAATTGTATTATTAATTATTTTATATTATACTTATACATTGACAAAATCAAAATCGTATATACGTATGGTATGCTATATAGGTATTATATAACGTTAACTTATATATTTTCATACTCACCGAGAACTACACTACTATAATAATACTGACTATAGGGCTAGGATTTCGATGCTCTTTGTAAATTGCACTATATTCTAAATCTAGCTACGCAAATACGCAATGCGCTCGTTCTATAACATGTACGTTTCATGTATTTATTTAATATTTAAATTAATACCATATACGACGTAAAAATCTAAGTAACGATTGGCATCGTAAAATTAAATATTTTTTTTTTATCAGAATTAAAGTCTACGCAGATTATTGCGACGCTTGACGTACAGTTATTCATATAGATGATAGACGAGTATTATTATTCTGTAGTGTTTTTACCCGAAATTACTAAAATGTCGTTATCACTGTCTCCGGAGAAATTGCCTGGTACGGTAATAGTTTATGTTAAGAGTTTATTCTGTCGAGTAAGTACTTTCCAAAAGTAGAATAATATATAGAATATAATGGTTTTAAATATTAATGGATACCAAATGGAAATTTAAAGTAAATCAAAATAAATCACCACTTTTACACTAAGACAAGCACCTTGCCCAAGGGTACTACTTTACGGCATCCCTATTCCATCATCACCTTCAGTAAAATACCTTGGTCTAACCCTTGATCAACGCTTAACCTGGGCTCTACACATACGTGAAAAAAGACTATCCCCAAACAATCGGCTACGTATGCTTAAGAATTTAATTGGTAACAAAGCCACCCCTATTAATATCAAACTTCTCTTGTATAAAACCTTATTAAAACCCATTTGGACATACGGATTGCAGCTATGGGGAAATGCTAAAAAGTCAAACCAGAATAAGATTCAAGCTTTCCAAAATATGACCTTAAGGAAATTATTTAACGCACCTCCATACATATCAAACTATACCCTACATTTAGATTGTAACTTAAATACTGTTCATGACGAAGCTAAACGTTTTTATAAAAAATTTCATAACTGTCTATCCTCTCATTCAAATCCACTCATTAAAAACTTATCATCCCTCACAATCCCAGGTAGCCCTCCAAGGCGACTTAAACGTAAATGGTGCAGAGATTTATTATTTTAAATAATAACATATAAGATATAACTAAATATATAATAATATATATTATATAATATAAATACTAACATATAACTAAATGTCTAAATCGCATATGATTAAACCAAGACGAAAGTGTCATGAGTGGGTGGCTTCTTTCCTCAAATGTATGTATGGTATGTATGTATGTATATCACCCTATTGTTTGTTTCCCTTATCGCACATATACTTATTATGTCTAAGATATAGATTGTATATTTTCTTCTTCTTCTTCTAAAAAAAAATATTAATGGGAATTGGGGAGGTAAGTTTAATAATATCGGTATAGGTTAAAACTTCTATAAATAATTAGTTGGTGGGTACGATAAAAATCATTGTAGACTATACAACTGAAAACACGTTATTGGATTAAGATACCATACAATAAATAATATTACATTATAATAATGTCTGTCCTATAGCGAGTAGGACGGCAGCTCATGACAAATACAAATCGTATTAGTTACAATTGAGTGTAGGTATAATCACGCTGATGAGACGTGATATTATTATTAGTTTTATACATTTATATTCGTGTTATCTAAAGACATCGATTCTCCCCCTGTCGTTGATTTTATTATTTATAGTTATCACATACGCCTCATCGTCAAAACGAATAAATTAATACTGTAAGATATAATAAAATGTAAAATGGTTGGACGTTGGTGTGTTCTGCGTTTTTACGAAACCTGTAACTAGAAAACTACCAGATAAATTATACATTTAAATGGCCAAACTTTATGATTTTCCAACTGAATTGTTATGCAATATGTTTTTATAATTTTAAATGTAACTACTTTATTTTTACAAAAAAATCTGGATTTTGTACTTACTATATAATATATAGTAAGTAAATAAAGTAGTTACATTATTATCGTGGTGGTTTTTCTCAGGTTCAATACAAAATTAGTTATGGCATCGTATTTAAGCCTTAAGGATTTACCAAGCATGCCACCCCAATTTTTTCCTTCAATGATAAATTTATTCAATTTCTGATTTTTGGAATTTTAAAATATACAGGTATATTCTGTTACACTCTGTATACTTAAAGGCTATATTTTCAAATGTTTAGGATTATTCATTCTACTTAAAAAGTGTTCTATCATTAAACAACCTTATGTACCTATTTAAATGGAAAACTGCCATTTTTACTACAAATTATTTAGCATTTCAGTGCATTTATTTTTTTAATGGTTATGTAGGTACGTATCAAAATTCCGACGAGTAGTTTCTCAGTTATTACAATGTTTATATTAAGGATAACATAGTGTTTAAAAATGGTTTTACAAAAATATAAAACATAATATATAATATTGGATCTAGTATTTATTATACTTATTTTTAGAGATTAAAAATGATGATAGATTAATATTAATTAGTAATTGCTAACATTTTCGCATATTGATATAACCATACCAATATATCTTCTAAACCCATTATATGGGTATATTACTCTATGACTCTAGATTTAAAGTATATTGACGAGTGGAGTAAAGTGCAGGCAAGTAGTGAGTACCTTGTAAGTTATGTTCTTCTACTATTATCATCTAAACTTTAAATAATTACGATTAAATATTAATTCAATATTCGATATTTATAAACGTTAAGAAAATTATTCTGCTTTCTATAATTAAATAAAAATAAATAAAATGTTGTTATTAAAAAAAAATTAAAACCTAAAAAAATCACTTAAAATTATTTTCATCTGATTAGAAATATTTATTTCAAAACATGAAAAACGACTTAAAAAATTAGCTTGTGTGGTTAAATGGATTACCTCGTTTTTATGGTAATATCTAATTTGTTTTTATAGGATATACCTACCTCCTATGTAAAATACTGGAGAAAGATTGTCGGTCGCTGCGCG